TGGTAAACACAGATATCCCTCTATGACTCATCTGTCATTACCTCCAAGGTATAAACATGAACTAATTCCCTACCTGGCTCAGCCTCTGTTTCTCCACTTTCTGCTCACTGCTCCCTATCTCTGTTAACAGCCCTTGTCAACTGTTTTTGGATTGTGTTTGTTTTCTACCATCTGACAGTGAACACCTCAAAGCCTAGGAATTTGGTTTGTTTATGCTGTGTTCCCAGCTCCTTGGCACTACTGACATAATGTTTATGGAATGGATGAATCAATGAAATACACCAGTGATGAGACCAATGTCACCAAGCTACTGTATATCGTTTCAAATTCATCTTTGTGACAGTATTTGTCATCATAAGTGCTTAGGAGTGGAGAGAAATAATGTTCAAATTTTCACTTGAATTGGGAAACAGGTGTCTGGGGGAGGGAGAGGAGCAAAAGAACAATTCAGAAATGAAATGAAAGGCTCAAGGGACAGAAAGCTCTGGTGGGCTCCGTTGGTGTGTGGCTGGGGAAGCAAGGCAGACAACACAGAATTAAGTGAATGTAATTAGGGGCTTTTAAAGGGGAACCGTAAGGAGACAGCTGTTTGGGTAAAGCTGAGGTCGTGGTAAGAATAAGAAAGTGCTGACCTCTTCAGAGTTGTTTCCGCACTGGGAAGTGATCCTCTTCCTAGCTCCCGGTCCCCAAGGACCCGCCAGAGCTGTTCCATTTGCTTCGTATGCCGCCACCTTGAGGCGGGAGTGTGCAGTTACACCACTAAGCGTCAGGCTCAGCTCACAGGTGCTTGACCAGGAAAACTACCCCAAGCCCAGAAAGTTTAGAGGTCCAACTTTAATGACATTTAAATATGGTAGGCAGGCTCTCTTCACATCAACTGAGGTCAAGCAAAAGAGAGTGTTATGTTACTCATTTCACAATCAACTGGGTTTATTCCTTTGCTGGTGTTTTTTGCCTTCCTCATGGACCCTTATATACACTGCTTGTTTCAAAAAAAAAATCTCTGCACTGTGCATTTATATTTAGGTGACATCTTTTAGCAAGTTTGTTTAAAGGTCCAAAACCATCCTGTCACATTTTTTGAAAAGTGAAAATAGAAAAACGTCACACATAATCCTAACACCTGAAAAGTCACTGATGACTAGTAAACAACTTCAAAAGAAGTAAACTTGCTTATATGCTCCATGACATCACCATATAAAATCACTGAATCCTAGTTTATAATAGGGAAGAGATTTAGAGGTTAAGTGGAAATTACATTAGGTTGATAATGTTAAGTGACAGAGAACCCAACTCAAATTGAGTTTAAGTATGGGCTTATGCAAGTTCTGAGATAGTGTGTGAACAGGACACAACGTATTCAGAAGCTCACTCTTGAGAGGCTTCTACTGTCTTGGCACCTGGATAGTGAAGGTGGGTGGGGAGTGGGCAAGGCTGACAGTCACCGAGCTGGCAGCCACTGGAGAGGTGTGGGTCAAGAAAATTGCCCATGGTCGCTTCACACTTCTGGGTGACAAATAGGGTGATGAGGTACAGCAGGGCAGTATAAAAGTATCCAAAAGTAGAGCTGTTAAGAGTAGTGGGGTCCCCAAAACACCTACAAAAAGGAAACCTACCTCTCTCAGTAATGGGCTTCTCCCTTGGGCCCGTTCCTGCTGTTAGGAGTCTTTCTTACAATAAACCTGAGCTTGCCAGTTTTCAGTTCAAGTGCTGGTGATTATTCCTTAATCGCCAGAACACAAGAATCCAGGCAAGGGGCAACAATATCACCTAGAAAAGACCAAATTGCCTCAGGGAAAAGCAATCCCATCTATCACCTTTAGTCTCTTCATGCCTGGACAATTAAATCCAAAGCAAATCTCCAAGTCAACTAGCTAGAAGTATGTGTGCAGAGCCATGTTTAGTCTGCTTTCTAGCTCATTCTTTGATACTAGTTAAGAACCTCGCATTTCAGGAAAATCTGTACCCCAAAGAAAAAGAAATACATAGGGTGTGGGAAATCACCCCAGTGGGAATAGACGTGACTCAGTAAACAGGGGTGGGAAGGAAACTTTAAAATCACACAATATCATTTTCAATTACTGCAAGGAAAGAAAATATTTAGATATAAAACTTATTTATAAAGATGACATTCACATAATTTAACACTTCAGTAGTATTTATCACAGTATTACATTGGACAACCACACCACCTCTATCTGGTTCTAAAGTATTTCCGGCATTTCAAAGTAAAACCCCTCCCCCAGTAAGCTGTTTCTCCCATTCCATTTCCCCTGAGCCCCTGGGAACCACCAGTCTGCACTCTGTGGGTGAATTGATCTCTCTGGAATCAAAAAATATGTGAACTTTGGTGTCTCAACTTCTTTAGCTTAGTATATTTTGGGGTTCACCCACATGGCACTTACCAGTACTTTTGTATGACTGAATAACATTCCACCGTATTTGGCAATTTGTGTAGCTAGTAATCTGCTAATGGACAGTGGGACTGTTTCTGCCTCTTGGCAATTGTGACTAGTGCTACTGTGAACATGAGTGTGCATGTGCTTGTTTGAGTCCGTGCTTTAAACTATTTTCAGTAGATAATTTAGAAGTGGAATTATGAAGTCCTATGGTAATCCTACATTTAATCTTTTGAGAAAATAAAGTGTTTTCCATATGGCTTAAATGTTTGCAAAATACAAAGTTACGATTTTTTCATATCCTTGCCAATGCTTATGTTTATTATGATTGTATCCTAGTCATTGTGAAGTGGCATTTCACCACCTTTCCATGTGTTTGTTGGGCACTTCTTTATCTCCTTTGGAGATACAGCTATCTAATCCTATATCCACTTTTTTAGCTGGGCTATTTGTTTTGTTGTTCCTGCTCAGTATATGTTCTGGCTCAATCAGCTCTGTGCCCTGACCTCAGGCTCCAATCATGGTCTACAAACAGCAGACCAGCCCTGGGGTCAGCCTGAGCCTGGGGAGGTCATACAGCAGGCCAGCCGGGGTTCAGCCTGGAGGCTGTAGAGGTCAACTAGCATGCTGGTACTAGGCTCACCTGGACAGCCCCAGTATTCAGGAAGAATTAACACTTCTAAATAAGTAGAATTGAAAAGTGAAAATAGAAAAATGTTACACATAATCCTAACACCTGAAAAGTCACTGATGACTAGTAAACAACTTCAAAAGAAGTAAACCTGGCTTATATGCTCCATGACATCACCATATAAATCAGTCTTCTCATGTGTAAAGCAAGTTGTCCAGTCACAAAGGCCAGTTTTCTCCACACTTTTAGGATTCCTTCCCACCCTGGTGCCACCCTGGTGCTTTTGTGTGGGACCCTGGCTGGCCTGCCATGCCCCCTCCTCTCGGGCACTGTGCATGATATCTTTTCAATGGCAGTCATCCCCTGATCTGCTTGGCTTATCACTGAATACTAAAGCTTATATCTTAAAACATTCCTTCTTCACCCCTAACTTTCTACTCAAAAGACCAATGAACTGAACAAATAGTTTATTACTCCCACAAGGAAGGAAAATTGACTTTTATAATCAAATTACTAAAATAAGAAACAACAGAAATAAAAAATAAGCAATACCATGAAATACTTAGCCCGTGAGCTAACTTAGATGAAATTCCTAGATACAAATTACTAAGTGACTTGAAAAGAGATAATCTGAATAAACCTGTACGAAGCAAAAGATTGAACCATTAACCCAAAAAACTATCCTCAAAGGAAAAGCTAGGCCCAAATGGCTCCCCTATCGAATGCAACCAAACATTTGAGAATACCTACCTTTTACAAACTCTTCCAAAACTTAGAAGAGGAAATAACATCCCACCTACAAATCCTTTAAGTGAGAAGGAAGCTACTGATACCATAAGAAATTCAACCAAGGTGCAGAACAGTAAAGAATTTAACCTTCTTCCAAAAAGGGAATGTGATGTTACAAACATAGGCATTGGAGCAGAATAGAACTGGATTAGTCCAGATTCCGTACAACAGGAATGTTGTTCATTTACTAACATCTGTAAGATGGAACCAGTAAGGGCTCCTAGATGTGTCGTGTGGATGAAATGAAACAATGATTCTAAAAATGTCCTTACACAAAATAGGAACTTCAGAAATGACAAATATCTGGAATAATACAGTAAAACACACTTTTAAAAGAAACCACTGTATCTCCTCTAATGTCTCATTGTTAACATTATGAACAGATAAAGTCTATGATGTTTTGTTAAGTTATAAATGCAGATGGTGTAAAATGAGCTCATATATGTGTCACTAATGCTGGCAGCATTAAAACTGTTTTCCCTGGGGAGAAAAATAAAAGCACTGATATAAAACTGCAGAAGCAAATGCTTTGAAAAGACAAAAACTCTGTACTGAGATTAAGAAAAAGACCCAAACATTTGGGATGAGAGGAGGGTATAACCAGATACAAAATTAAAATGCTATGAACAATCCTGTAAATTTGAAAACCTTAAAGAAAAATATGCTATAAAAATAGAAAAACCTGATTTCCACATGCAAGCATAAAATAAATAAAATTCACCGAACCTAATGTAGCACCAATATCCTTCTTTTCCAATTCTTTAAAACTCTCAGGGAATGCGTCCTATTTAAGCAGTTTCATAATATACAACAAAATATAAACACAGTAACTTCACTATATAAGTAATGATAACTCTGTATCAAGATACCATTCCAGCTACTGCTAACCAGAACCAAAGGGCAACACTATGAAGCTTCTGGGGTCTTCCACCTGGCAAATTCTTTAAAAGAAATGGAGACATAGGGTAATCTGGCCATGACAGCAACAGCAGAGTGGAAAATGCACCTAAGGCGAAGAGGTCAGGAAATAACTTATTCTGCTTATAGCTGCTACTTCTAGGACCCAATTTCTTTACTTGTAAAGGAGGTAGAATAAATGATCTATGAACTTTGCTCAGTTCCATAAATTCTAACTTAGGAGGGTCAATGAGAATCCAATGAGACAGATACAAAAAGTATTTATAGCAACTTTATTAATAATAACCACAAACTGGAAACAATCAATTTCAATTAACAACAGAATAGATTTGTAAGTTGTGGTATAGTCACACCATGGACTGCTACACAGAAGTAATGAACTGCCGCTACAAACATGGATGACTCAGACATAATGCTGAACAAGACACTATAGTACATACACCTATTAGACTCACATGAAGTTGTAAAACAGACTAAAGTAATCTATGGCAAAAATGGGGAGAATAGTGGTTATCTTTGTGTATGAAAGGCCTAGGAGCAACTACTTGTGTTAGAAATGTTCAGTATCTAGGTAACAGGTTCAAAGATATACATAAAAATCCACTGATACTTGCACTTTAATGTTTTACTCCAATGAAGGAAAAAATGTATTTTTAAAGGAATCATATAAATGGACAGATATAACCAAATGTAACTGCTAATCGTTAGTGTTTTCTCCCCAAATATTCCTGGTTTTCTTCCCAGGTACTTGGAAAGTTTACACTCCTCCCTAAACTTCAGTGTGGCCATGAGATTTACTTTGGTCAGTTAAAACGCTTTGAAGGTCCACTGGATCTACCATATATATACATATATTTTTTTTTCATAAAATGAGTAGCAACATTTTACACCTAAATCTCAGAATGACTGCAACGTAGAAGGGGCATCAGTGAACTTTTTCCTGTGAAGGATTTTAGACTTGCACCATACACACTGTCACAACTACTCAATTCTCCTACTGTAGAACAAAAGCAGCCAGACAATAAATGGAGAAGGCTATCTCCAATAAAACCGTATTTACAGAAATAGGACAGTTTGTTGAGGGCCATAGTTTATCAACTCTTTATCTAAGGCAAAATCCCTAACTAAATTACAAGAAAAAAGCTATGAGAACATTACGATTTTTGTGGTTACTAGTATGTCCTGACACAGAAATTAGATCTATTTTCAAAACATCTAAAATACTGAACACTGGGCTAGTTGGCATTCAGAAAATTGCCACTGGAAGATAGAAGACATAACTTATGCAGGGGAAAAGCATGTTATGGAGTGGTGCAACTGTTCCTTGAAGAGAGCCTAGAACATAGTGTCTACTACTATAGACACATTACTAAGACAAGAAAACGAAAAACTTATGGTTGCCGTTGGCTGCTTTGGGGAAAAAATATACAGTAGAAAGATTAGTTCAGAAAAAGAATTCATCAATTTGTGAACAGAAATATAGGGGAGTAAGATTTCACAAATTTGGGCATTCACAAATTCGGGTATTTAGGATGAGGCCATTATTTGATTATAGAAAGACACAGATGAGAACGCCTTTAATCCAAAGGCTGAATGAAGCCCAGTTATGCAATAAGGATCAAATCCCTGGGTGAGTGCCACACCTATTCAGAGCTCTAAATGAGCTAATGTGCCTAAAACTTATATCCAAAAATGAGGCTACCAATACTGAGTCTCCTTAAATTGGAAGTGGCTCAAAGGTAAGAGATTAAGGGTGTGGTGCTCCCAGGAACCCTCAAAGATTCAGAAATTGAGAGGCCTGTGAACAACAAATAGTGTAAACCTAAGACTTTCAGCACTGTCACTCTGAGGGCATCTTCACTGGTAGTAAAGATATTCTGCAAGGCAGCAACTGAGTATCTAGTGACCAGGAGAGCCAAATTTTTAAAAAATTCTGTTCAATTTACTTACTTTTAAATCCCAGAAGAGCCAGAAATCATCTGTAAAGGAAGTATTGATAGCAAGTAAATAATAGGTCATATTCTTCTAGGATGATGCTTACACAAGGGAAAAATGGATATTTACTCTTAAGCAACATTATCTGTTTCTAAAACCAAATGTTAACTTTTTGATTACTGAACTAGTTTTAGGTCACTAAGGGCTTTCCCAATCTTTTCATCCAGGTCTATGCGAGTATGTCTTTGAAAATCAATTAAAAAAAAACAACTTTTGTTACCAAAGAGGTGTAGACTTAATTCAGCCTTACAGAGTAGATTTTGTGGGTATACCTGGCTTTGTAATACATGGATTACAACTACACAGCACACAGCCTGAGAAAGGACCACTGTGAAGGGCAAATGAGTTTGTGAAAAGGTTTCAAAGACTATAAAACATTACACAAATATTTATTCACTGCAATGTTTATTGAGATGCCAGGCACTGTGCTGAGCACTACAAGTAACAGCAACCAAGGCTTCTGGGGGCCCTGCCCTCACAAAGCTTACAGTCTAGTAGTGATCAGTAAGAAGCAACAATAAAGTGTGCTGCAAATATATGGCTGGGAAGGAGGAGATTTGGGGAGTACACTGTTAAGGGCATCTGGTCTAGAGGATACTCATGAAGTCTTTGAGAAATTGATCTATGAAACGAGACCTTAAAAAAAGAAATGTGTACCATACCTTCAGAGCAGTGATGGCAATAAGCAAATGCAGTGACAGGTATGTCTTTTGGAACATGGAATCAGAACCAAAGAAAGGGAGCACAATGAGGAGGTGTCTACTGTCATTTAGGTAGGCTGACAGCCTGAGTTAGGATAGTAATACTAGAGAACTGAGAAAAAAAAAAATCAGAAAGTAGACTCAACACATAGGTTTCTGCAAGGAGACCAAGAGGGGAAAGTCATGGACTTGAGCAATGGCAACTGGTTGGTTGGTTAGTGGCAGTGCCATTTGCTGAAAGAGGGAACATCAAAGAGGGGGTTTTGGGGGCAAGACCATGGTGTGTGTGAAATAGCTAAGTGGACTTGAATTAGCTATTAATTACACAGGTGAATTAAGAAAATCTAGATATGAATTTGGGAGTCACTTGCATACAGGTGCTAACTGAAGCCATGGAAGATATAATCAGCCAAGGAGATGATGTATTTATACGATAGCCTAAAAAACATTTTTAAACGGCAACACAGACATTTAAGGGAAAGAAATGCTGCAGAAAAGACTGAAAAGTGCCTGGATATGATAACTCCTGACAGTCCAAGAAACAAGTATATTAAGGACAGTGCGTCAAAGGTTAAAAATACTGACAAGCACTTGGTGAGTGTAGGAGAGAGGTTTGACCAGCAGTAGACAGACTGGGAATACAGACAAGTCTTTCAAGAAAATTAATAAGGACAGGAGATACAAAGACACAGTTCTTTAAAAACTGCTTATTTTAACTATATTCCTGGTCCAAGACCAGTAACAACTATTTTATATTAAAAAAAATCCAAAATAAAAACTGCCATGCAGTTACAGAATTACTTAATACAGAAAACAGTAAAATACATTTTTTGAAACAAACAAGACTAGTTTATAGCAAATTCTCTGTTGTTCAAAGTTGATTTAAAGTCCTTGGCTATGTCCCCACCCCCACACTACCTGAGCGACATATGCTGCAATCCAACTTTATCACCTTAAGCAAAATATATACTTAACTCCACAAAATGTACAAGACTTCAATATTTGAAGAACTGAGATTAGAAAGCAGAAGCTTTCAGCTCTTCCAAACATTCTTTCAATGAAGCATTTGCCACAAAAGAGGTTACTCTAAGCTACTGGGAAATTATAGGTAGGTTTTTATTTCATTGGTTTATCACTGTTGTTTTTCCAAATATTTAAACTTACTCACTTTTGACCTATCTCAACTTGACTATCCTCAATAAATACTTTATGGATAATACTTGCTTTTCTCCCTTAAACTAACAGTAACAGGACACAGCCTTTAATCTGGTGCAGTATCAGTTACTGATTATGAAAGCTACTGTGAGCTGCTGGAACTTACCGAGGTCTTCACTGCACCCCACCAGGCAACTATGAATACTGGAATTAGTCTTCCCTATTACCAATTTGCCCAACTTGCCCTTCTCATTTTGCTTCTATGAGTAACCTGCCCTAGTCTTCAAAATAAGGTAGCCTACATTGGGCATCTGATGGCACTTTGCAAGTGGTAGTTCTTCCTGTGCCAGACTGTCCTGTCCATGAGAGGGGAGAGGTATTTCAGGCATACAGTGAGCAGAACCCCCCAGTAAATACAGCAACCAAAAAGTCCAGCTCTGTATTTCCCAACATCCTCTAAAAGGAGGGATTACTGACTCTGTTGAGACCCAGGCATATATTGGTTCCTGGGGTCTTAGGACATTTATTTTGATTGTTCAGGCATCATTTCCTTCCAAGTCTTGGGTCCTTGAGTTTCCTGGTTCCTCGACTTTACTGAATTAGTGATCAAAGGATAATGTTTGCAATAGTTATGACAGGACTTATCACAATAGTTTTTAAACTCTACTTGATTGGGTCCTGTTTTTTTTTTAAGTTATTTTACATATTTGGCTCTGCTGTAAAGAATTCCTTTTCATGTTAACAGAAGTCTGAAAATTACTGTTTAGCACAAGGCAGATGTCTCACTAGAAACACGGAATTTTTACAATCTGGGAATATAGCTGCTTTTTGAGAGTTAAAGATTTCTACTTGTCTACTGTCTTAATCACAAAACACGTGGGAGCTTCAAATTTAGAATGAATCCCTTTTCAGGAGCTAACAAAATCAGTATATCATTTTAAAACAAAGGCATTCCTCTAAGCAGGATGTCTTTACAAAGCAGCAACACCCATGCAGACAGGACAAATAGGTGGACACAGCTCACACCTTCTGACTCAAAAATCCTTTTTTCTCATCCTTTTTGACAGGGATAAACTTCTGTCCAGAGAAGAAAAAAGAATCACTAAGGGGCAGTCATTACAATTCTATACTTACCGTAGTCCTTTATTAGGCAAGCTGATAAAACAGTTCCCTATTGGGGAAAATTCAGGGGGAACCCCCCATAATTGGTTAGTCTGATCTCCAAATTGCAGGAAGTCTCCTAAACCAGCAACTTAAAAATCATTCTTGCTCCTCTGACTAAAATTTTATCTGATTACTTCTTCTATTAGTAATATCATTATCACTGGGATGGCTGGGGGAGAGGTGAGAGGAAGGACTTCTCCCAGTATTTACTTCAGACTCAGAATTATGTTTTAAAAAATTCTCATTTTGACAGTTAGACAAAATACCTCCCCTGTTTGTATGTTCTTCCTTTTCAGAAACTTCTGAACTGCTAAATGAGTATCTGATTGGTTCAAACATAAACTTTGAGTTGGTAATTTCAGACTATATGCATCAAAATTTTAACATAGTTTAAATATGAACTTTCTTCAGAACACCTTAAAACAGACTTCTAACTCAATCACATATCAGTACTTCTTTAAAAACAATTAGATATAAAAGCAAAGATGATGACTTTGTCATTAAGTTTTAAAAAAAGGTGTTCTCTTATCAGTCCCGTGTTGTTTCTTGAGATGAAAGAGAAAAAAGAAAAAAGATTAGTCAGAAGAATCTGAATCCTGATCAATTTAGATGAATAAACTTGGTGCTTTCCACAATCCGCATTAGTAAATTTAAAAAAAATCAAAACAACTTTTGTTTTTAGAACTGGGTTCTAGAAGTTCAGTGTTTCAGCGCTGTGTTTTTAAAGGGTTACGGATTAGATTCATTTCTTCCTCTCACAAGATCATCCCAAAGGGGCTCTATTTCAGTTGTTGCAATCCGAAAGAGGGCGCGGAGATGGTCATCTGTCAGTGGCTGGCTCAAAGTGTGTTGATTTCGAGTCAAATATGAAAAAGCCTTTTCGCAGATTTGGTTACTATCAAACAAGGATGCCACCTTCCAGGCAACCCCTTTGATAATTGGGTAAGAATCAGCAGACAAACCAGCATAGAACTGCCCCAAGTCTTTGTTTCTATATTCATCCCAAAGGTTGGTGTTTGCCTGAAGTTTTGTTAACTCCATCCTCACTGAAATAGGTGCATACTCGGGCTTAAAGTCAAATGGATTTGCAAAAAGTTCTAAGTCCTTTTTAATGAATCTGAGGTCCTTGAAATGCCTCTCAAATTCTTTCTGTAGGCGACAGATCACTACTTGATACCTATCGGGGTCAAATATTGTTTCATCTTCTTTAAGATGCGGTGCAAGTTCATCAGCAATTTCCCGGAAGGCAGCAAAGTGTGTTAAATTTTTTTCCTCCATATGTCTCTGAAGTAAATTCAGCTTCCCTTCAAAGGTACAGATATGGTCAAAGGCAGCAGCAGCAAAGACTTTACTAACCCCCAATAACTGACTGAGTTCTCGAAGATGGTCCATAATATCCACCAAGAAGCCAAAGTCGCAAAGCCATTGCTTGTCTGTGAAATGAACAGTAGTTGCTCCTATGGAGACCAAGAATGCCTCTATTTCTTTTCTTAGGGAAAATATTAGTTTCAAAGTTTTCCCTCTTCTCAGCCAATTATTCAGACACCGTCCATTAACCCTTTCCCCGTGCTCTGATTCAGATTCAGTTAGCAAAGCCTGAAATTCGGGTCGCCTAACACCTCTGGTCTTAATCAAAACTATCCACTCGGATATGGTATTCACGATCTGATTAACATCGACATCGTAGGAGCTCAACAGTTCCAAGTGATGAAACCCTGAATAATGGATAACATTCCAACAGTTGGGGCTCACGGCCTTTTCTCTCATGTATGACACCAGTCCTGAGTTCTCACCAATCATCCTCAGCGTGTGGGTCGTGGTGAGTCCAACCATTCGCTGCAAGCTAAGACCTGCCGTCTGCAGGGCCTCTAGGATTGCCGCCATGAGGGCACCGACACTGAAGTGATGAGTCAGGTTGATTATGGTCAGAAGCTCTTCTTGCACCTCCAAGTCCTGGCTCACGCCGCGGACAAAGACCAGGAGATAATTCTCATAGGCCACGAAAGCCTGGTCGTCCAAGGCAAGGGAATAAGCTTTAAAGTCCTTGGCTCGGTTAAAAAGCTGACTGCGTAGATTCTTGTCAATGTTCAGGACTCTCTGCCGCGTGACCTCGGGCGATAAATCGATGCTATCCAGAACGCTTACATGGTCGGGCAGAACATCTCTCAGCATCACCTCCATGCACTGGGATACAAAGTCCCCCTCACCCCAACCGCGACCCTTCAAGGCCAGGAGACGCGCGAGCCCGAGGCCTGCACGAGCAGCTCGCTCCTCCAGAGTGAGCTGGGCGACCACGGGGATGTCGCCCTGACGCAGACGCTCCACCAGGGCCGCGCGCTCGCCCTCCGCCACATACCGCTCGTAGTGGTCGTGCTCGGCCTCGTAGTGGCGCCTGACGTCGCGTTCGCGGGTGGCTACGACCAGGCGGCGACACACCAGGCACAGGGCCCCTTCGCCCTCGGGCGGCTCCACCACCAAGTAGCGCTGGGTCCATTCGGGCCGGAAAATCTCAGCTTCGTCGACTTCCATTTTGCTCCTCTTGGGCGACATCCACATATTACTGGAGGCCACCAGAACAAGGCCGACCTCTCGGAGGCCGCAAGAAGAGGGGAGGAGCAGGAGACGCGCCAAGCACCTCCTTTGCTCTGCGCCAGATCACCCCAGCAGCGGACTCCAGCCCCCCCGACTCGGACCAGCGTTCCTTATTGGCTGGGGATTTCGTATTCCCTGCGGTTTGAGCCAATAAGAGGAACGAACAGTGATTTCCAGCGCGCAAGCGCATATCGTAGTGGACGACGCTATTTTAGGGCGGGACGAAGGGACTCAAGTAACCTATCGATTTGATAAACCAGACTGACATTCAAGTTACCCAACCAATAGCAACCTGGTTGCTAAGCGCGCCGCCGCCGGCCGGTGATGCAGAAAGCGGAGATGGAGTGGAAAAAGAGAGGTGGGCACAAAGCCCTGGTGATTGGCTGATGGCACTTCCGGTTAGCGTCACGACGTGACCTAGACACTCTGGCGCCAAAATGTCTCTCGTAGCGGGAGTTATCCGGCGGCTGGACGAGACAGTGGTGAACCGCATCGCGGCGGGTGAAGTTATCCAGCGGCCGGCTAATGCAATCAAGGAGATGATTGAGAACTGGTATGGAGGGAGTCAAGCCAGGCTTCTTTGGAGGCTACAATTTACGGGGCCGCTGCCCAGGATGGCGCGGACATGCCTCCCTGCCCTCGGCAGAGGCGTGTCAGCGCATGCTCACTTCAGCGGAGGCTTCTGGTTCCCGCCTTCGCACTTCCTGGGTACCGCGTAGTCTCGAGCACCCTCGCGAGACTTTCCTGAAATTTTTGGTGCCACCAGTAAAGGGCTGTCCAGTATTGCTTAAATGGTGCCATTAATTGAGGGAGCTACTTTTGGGATTTTTTATGCAGAAATTGCAAAATTTGAAATGTACAAAAGTTTCCGCAGAGAAAGACAATTTCGTTCACCCTTCAGGTTACCGTGTTAATAAGTTTTGTGCTTGTTTCAACAATCACATTCAAGAGCACAATTCATTAAGTTTTATTCTAAATAAATTGGGACTTTAGGACAAGCGGATGAACCTTATCTGCGTTTTACTTGTGACTTCCCTACTTCCCAATTAGTGAGCCTGTTTCGTGTTTTCCTACCCTTTTGGGGGGACACATCAGAGTTACTTGATTCTATGGGTTATCCAGTGGGTTGTGAAGTTTAGAAGTGTCACACTATGTGGAAAAAAAAGGGGGTGTAGACTGTAAATCACAAAAAAGATTGTGCATAATGTAAACGTTAGGTCTCATTCTTTGTGATGGAATCAACTCATGCAGACAATTTATACATCAAAAATTTAAAACACCCCAATAAAGAATAGTAGGTTTTTAGAAGGGATTTGTTGTAAAGTCATAGACAGCCATTCATTCAGGGTGATGCAACTGGAAGAACAGGTCAGAAAGCACTACTGGAAAAGAATTAGAAAGTAGACAAAAGATGTAGCAAATGATGGTACCCTTGGCTGCCCCCCTCTTTCCTCTGCCACAGGACATGTGAAATGTAAGAGTAATTACAGAATCTTTCAGACAAAAGCATATTAATCAGACAGTCTTGTACTTTGCTGTAGTTTATTGTTATGCTTTGGCTCACACTCAGTTAAAGACTGATAAATTTTCTGTTTTATTTTCCAGTTTAGATGCAAAATCCACAAGTATTCAAGTGGTAGTTAAAGAGGGTGGCCTGAAGCTCATTCAGATCCAAGACAATGGAACTGGGATCAGGGTGAGTAAAGCCTAGAGGAGCAGGATGTGTGAGTGTGGGGGTGTGATCCAGCTGCAGGAAGCACAGACCCTTTCCCTGTTCTTGAAACTCTAGGCTTTGTGGATGTAATTTTTTTCACTGAAAACACCAGCAATGGATATTCACTAAACACTTTTGTCTCTACTAGAAGCTGTACCAGGGATAAGGACATCCAAGGAGCAAGTCGTGGTGCTATTTAAGGAATGATTAGGGCAGGGGAAATATATGGCAGAACCATGAAACAGAAATGTGTCTGATATGTTTAAGGACCAGCAGGAAGGTCACTGTGTCTAGAACAGGGTGACAGCATGAAAGAGTAACAGAAGTTGAGATATTAGCTATAAGTAAGCTGGCAGTGACCTTGTGGACCATAGAAGGCATACAGATGGCCAACAAGTACATGAAAGATGTTCAGCTAATCATCAAATAAATCACAATGAGCTGTCACCTCATACCTACTAGAAGGGCTATTATCAAAAATGCAAACTATAACAACTGTTGGCAAAGATGTAGAGAAAAGGAAACCCTGTGTTCTGTTGGCCTGAATGTGAATTGGTATCACCACTATGGAACAGGATGTAGGTTTATCAATAAATTGAAAATAGAATTGCTGTATGAGCCAACAATTCCACTTTGGGGTATTTATTCCAGGCAAATAAAAACACTTACTTGAAAAGATATCTGTAATGCTATGCTGTTCATTGAAGCATTTTTTTGACAATGATCAAGAAATGCAGACGTTCAAGTGCCCATTGATCAGTGAATGAATAAAGAGAGAGACATTCACACATATGCACACACATACACACAGGAATATTGTTCAACCATAAAAAGTAATGCATTATTGCCACTTGTGACAACATGGATGAAACTTGAGGGTATGACACTATGTGAAGTAAGTCAAAGGAAGCTAAATACATATGATCTCACTCATATGGGATCTGAAAACAAATCAAGATCTTAGATACAGAGAACAGAATCCTGATTGCCAGAGATGGGAGTAAAATGGGTGAAGAGGTCAAAAGATACAAACCTATCGTTATAAAAGTCATACAGCATGGTTACTATAGTGAAGAATAATTATTTTACATATTTGAAAATTTCCCAGTACCTCTTAAAAGTTCTCATAAGGAAAAAAAAAAAAAGAACTCTGTGTAGTTGTGGATGATAATGAGACTGACTTAACTGTGGTGCTCATTTCACAATATATACAATATCTGAACACCTTGTATGCCTGAAATTAAAATATTTGTGTCAAATACACCTCAATAAAAAATGGTTAAAAGAGTAAATTCTGTTATATGTAATTTGTTATAATTAAATATATCTGTCATTTTTAATAAAGAGGTTTTCTAATAATAAAATACACGAGCCTGGATAGGATCATCAAGAGAGTGAGTGTAGAGAGAGAACAGGTACAAGCATTGGCGTGCTAGGTGACTTCAGTGTCAGAGAAATGATACTGAACTAGCAAATGAGACTGAGAAATTAGATGAGTGGAAATGGAGCAGGACAGTAAGGTATGCTGAATGCCACAGGAGAATTCTGCTAATTTAAGCATTTCTACAGGACTTTTTTCCTAAGATTCAATTAAGGAAAGGGATGTTCAAAAAGATTTGGAAAGATGAGTAATATAATTATTTCCTTATATTTTGATACTAGAAAGAAGACCTGGATATTGTGTGTGAGCGATTCACTACAAGTAAACTGCAGTCCTTTGAGGATTTAACTCATATTTCTACCTATGGCTTTCGGGGTGAGGTAAGCTAAAGATTAAAGAAATATGTAAATAGCCTCCTCTGATCACATTTCTGCTTTTTTTGGGTATGTTTCTCAACAGAGATATAAAGATATGATACTTTCTGCATGTTAAATATGTGTAAATCTGAGCAAACTTCATTAAATCCAATTTTCCAAAACAGAATTGTTCATAATATATTAAAAACCATTTTCTCTCTAGAGACGTTCCAGAACATTGTGTGTCACTTGATGGAAGAATGCATTACCATCTACAAAATTTTTTTCTTAAAAGTCAAGTGGAAAAGAAAAAAAATCAAGTGAATCTGGTCAACACTAGGTCTAAGTACCAATATTCACACAATATCAGGGGTAAGAAAGCATGGTCAGTGATTCTGAGATTTGAAAACTACATGATAAAAGATTTATTGCTTTCAACAAATAAACTACAAGGGAAAAAATGTACAGAAGGGCTCAAGAACTAATAGATGAAAAGGGATTTCTGTGTGCTATGCATGGTTTATAGCACTTCACCATGTAAATAGTAACTCACTCTTGACATAATTTCACAGGGTAGGTTATTTATTTATTTATTTTACAACAGTTTATTTTTACATCATTTTGTACATTTTTTTTTCCATCTCAATTGTAATCCCTGCGGGTTTCCCATCACCAAGTCACCCGTGTGCCATCACCATAATCCCGTGCACTTCCCTCCGCACCCCCCCGTTTTTGATCCCATTTCCCACTCCACCACAGGTTAGGTTTTTAACTCTGCTTTACATGTGAGGAAACTAACACGGAGGTTGACCAGATGAACAGGAAACACGAGCAGATGTAGAAACACAGTCTGAAGTGGCAGCCTGGGGGATCCACAGTTCACTTGCAGCGTCTGCCCCTGTCTGCTTGCTCCAGTGTTGGTTCAAAGATCCCAAAGCCTGTGGCCCTCTCTCTTCCTGACAATACACAGTGTTGCTGCAGTGGGTATAGTAAATGTCCTTCCTTACATAGGTCTCAAAATACATAGATTTTTAGTGAAGAACAATTTCTGAAATCCAGCCAGGACCAGCTAATCCCAGAGCCTAAGCCTTCCTCTTCCAGGTGACTCACTCTGCCACAGGTGGCCTGACTGTCTGCCAAGATGCCGTCACACAGACCCCTTCTTAGTGCCTGGGGTGCATTTTTATATGCCGTGAGATGACCTTGTGAAAGGGGATACAGATTTCAAAGGGTTGGAAACGAGTCTTGGTTATAAGGGAAAGAAATTGAATGCGGATTCAATTTCTTTTGTCTTTACTGTATAATTTAAAATTTGCATTGTTAAATTTAACTGCTTAAACAATTTCGAAATAACTGGTGTGCCTTCATTATGCATTTCTGAAGCAAGTTTTAAAGTTGTTTGAAGACAAATCATTGAGAATGCCATTATGCGAACCTGTCATTCTGCTACCTGGGTGAGATTGTTAACACATTAATCCTTTAGTTTGTTTCCATTTAGGCTTTATATATAATATATACAACATATATATATATATATATATATTATATATATATATAAATCGAACTGAAAATTATAGCAAATTAGAATATCAGTTTGATTTTTTTTAAACATATCATCAAAATGATGAGCAAAGTGTTCATTGCCATTTCTTATTAAAGAAAGGAAAAGATGATTTAAGCCACCTTTCCCCTTCATGATGTGAGGAGTGCCCCAGAAGCGAGTTTTACCTTTTATTTTTTCATTTTCCTTCCTAGGCTTTAGCCAGCATAAGCCATGTGGCTCACGTTACTATTACAACCAAAACAGCTGATGGAAAGTGTGCATACAGGTACAGAGCAGTCATCTTTTGTTTATATATATTCACCCTGAAGTGTGCTTTTTAATCTCAGAGTTACCCTATCTAAAAACCGGTGTTACCTTTTTTGGCCAAGATCCTGGTTAGGTTTTCTTTCCTCCCCATAAATGAATTGCTAATCCACGGGAATGACTGTTAGGTAGTAATCTTACTTTGTGGATTCTTGAAAGATAATATAGCATGTAACAGATGTTTCACAAGGTGTCTATTACATAGAAGTGTTTTAAGTAAAAGCTGTTGATATTATTTTGCCCCTCTGCTCTTCATTGGGTATCACTTTGGGTTTATTACAGGTCTGTGATGGGGTGTTGGGGCTCACGTTCCTGAGCAGACTCGTGAACCCCCACTCCATTAGATACCCGTGTCTGTGCTGGCCTTCCCACACATGATCTCTGGCTGGCTGTTGTCCTGGCAGTTTTCGGAGGCTGACAAATAGCCTTAGTAGGACAGAATTTGAGGAATTAAAATCATTGATGAGCACTGGCCATTTCTAGGGGAAGACAGGTGGGGGTACCTAAATTATGCCCCAAAAGAAATTGTTTTTATCACACTGTAACTTATTAGAGGAAATAGCTTCAGCCAGGGCAGTTCTGCCTGTTTCTCAGTCTTCTTCATCTGAGGAACCTGCTAAATAACAGAGATGGCACATTTCTGGGTATACAGCACTGACTGACGCTAGTGGGGGCGTTTAACTCTGCATGAGTTATCACTGCCCTAGGATCAGGCGGGGGTGGGGGTGGTGTGGTGGTGCTGGCACTAGAATCCCTTTTCATAAAACCAGGCTCTTGTGAGCTTGTCTTCATAAATAATCTGAAGCACCAGTTTCCTTTCTTTGTCTCGGCGGTCACATTATGCCCCTACTTGGACTGCTGCGGGCTCCTCTCTTGTGGTCAGAGGAAATCCAGAGTCGTCACCATAGCAGCCAGTGTGCTCTCGGGCCTCTTTTCCAGCGCCTCTCTCCAAACATCCCTGGCTGCTGAGAATTCTAATGCTTTTGTGTTTTTGTTTTTCCCATCCTGGATGGTCTTTCCTGATCTCTCCATCTCAGTCTATATATACCTCTCTGGAGTCCAGATAAATTGTGGCCTCCTCTGTGACACTTTGTCTCACCCCAGGCTGACCGTTTCCTTCTGTGTGTGACTTAGCACAGTGCTCTACAGTTTAAGTAAAATCGTATTTCCTCACACATAAAGGGCTTTCCAAGGCCTTTATCACCAGGACGTCTAAATCCAAACAAAATGGGGTCAGTGGGGGTGGAATGACCTGGTTGGTGGGTCTTTACCTGGACACTTCTGACTGCAGGACACGACCCAAAAGCAGAAACCATGTAAAACAAAAATAATGGGATTTGTTTTCAGGGAGTGAAAGAGGGAGCAAGAAGAGTGGGAGGAGATTATTGGCCTGGCCCATGTTCTAGCCCAGGTAACACCCACTGAGCAGACCAAGGTCTAAGCCAAAACACTGCCTGGCAAGCTGGTGGCTTCTCCAAATGCCCCTGTTCACCAGTCTAACTGCCAAGCCTCAGCTCTGCCCTGTTTCCCATCAGCCCCGGCCCAGGGGGTGGAATCTAGAAAGCGCCACCTTCTGCCATCAAACTGTCTATATGATCCACCCTTGCTGGCTCAGAGGCGCTCTGCTCTTCGCTTTCTCCTACACATCCTTAAGGCCTGTACATGGCAACTCTTGAGAGATGGTAGTAGAGTTACCAGAAAAACTACTGATTTCATAGGCAACGGCAAAACTATGGGTAGATTGTTGTTTGATTTTTTTTTGGATTGCAATTTGAAGTATGGAATTACGGAAGTAGGGAAAAGTCTAAAGAAAAATGGTAATTAAGACAATAGGTAACACGGCTGTATTTTAATCTACTACAAGTTTTTTTTTTTTTTACCCTTTGGATAAGTATCTCTTCTGTTGATATTAATAATCTCCTATTTCTGAATAGAGCAAATTACTCAGATGGAAAGCTGAAAGCCCCTCCTAAACCCTGTGCAGGCAATCAAGGGACCCAGATCACGGTAAGAACAGCATATGAATTGTTGAATAAGAATTTTGTATGGATATTGACATGAAAAAGAAAATTGCTTCTGAGTTTTCAAAGAAATATTTAAATTAATTTTTACTCGTTACTAGAAGCCCCCAAGATATCAGCCCCCGAGCTAGACATTGTTTGTGGCATGGCAGCCTGCCCAACCCTTTATCTTTTGTAAGAGGCTGGGGGATTCTTTTATTCGAGGGCAGAAATCAGTGGCAGGATAATGGATATCAAAAGAACTTGAAATGGTTCCAGAAGACATGAGTTAGTGTTCCAGCATTGCCATGCAACATCTGTGTGTCCCAAGTTACTTAATGGCTCTCACTCTTAGCTTTCCTTATCAAAGGAAACAAAGGCTACCCGCTCATGGGATCATAAGTGAAAAGGGAGTGTTTGTTTTTTTTTTTTTGAAGATACATTTGTTTGGGTTCTCTGCCCCCAACTTGTCCCTGGTGAATCCTCTTACCACCCCTGTACCTCTGGCTATACCCCAGTTCTGTATGCATAAACAAACAACTCTTTAAGGAAAATAAAGATTTATTTGTTTGTGCATACAAGAACCTGGTTATAGACCAGAGGTGCAGAGGGGTAAGAAGATTCTCCTGAGACAGAGTGGGGAACAGAATAGGTAGGTTGAGTGAAATGCTGAGGAGAGCAGCAGGCAAGACAGTAGAGGTCTGTTGTGCCATGTGGGTCAGCTCCCTGGCCAAGGATCAAACTTGTGCTACAGTAGCTATGGAGAGCGTCATAGTACTGCACCTCAACACGTTGTGCCACCAGGGAGGCCCCTCTATCTGTTCTGTAACCTCACTGGCTATTGCATGTCTACCTGAAGACTGACCCTTAGACAGGATGAGGCTGGAGAGGCAGGAATGAAGGTGGGTTTCAGAGTGCATGTCATCTGGTGTCACCGTGGCCACACTGATTCCGGAGAACCCCAGATGGCCTTAGAAATTTTACAATTTGTTTGAAAACTGTGTTTGAATGCCATGTGACGCTATAATTGTGTGTTTATGTTGCCCCACTAAACTGTGTGCTATCCTGGGTAAGACAGTGCTTTGTCTTCCTCTTGCCAGCATAAAGCCAAGAGCTTGACAGAGAGAGTGCCAGCCCTCAGGTACAGAGAGAGAGAGCGCACGGGGTGCCGTTGGGTACCTATTTGTGAAATGAGCAAATAAACGGGGATGGAGGGAATCATATCCCTTATTCCTTTTGCCCCTTCCTTAATCAGGGCTGGGAACTGTGCTATTGGTAAATATGTTTGGATTCACTGCCGTGAACCCACCTAAAGCCTACTTTAGGTGAGTAGCGTGGGCTCTAATTTTCATGTCCTTTCATGAACTTACAAGGAAAAAACTCAATTTCTATTCAGGTGGAGGACCTTTTTTACAACATATCCACGAGGAGGAAAGCTTTAAAAAATCCAAGTGAAGAGTATGGGAAAATTTTGGAAGTTGTTGGCAGGTACAGTTGAAAACCTGGGAGGGGGCCTCTGAGCGGTCTCACCAAAGGAATGTGTTCTGGTGCTTAAAACTTGAGACCTGCTGCTGAGCTGGAGGGAAGGCAATGGTACTGGCCTCCAGACTGTTTCTGGTCAAGGGTTAGTCACCATTTTGGACTTCCAGCTCGCCAGGAGCAAGTAGTTAACCTGTGTGTTAGAGAAGTTTCTTTGGTGATAAGCAAAAGCTGACTTGAACCCCAAAGAAACTTACTAGGCCTAGGAGTGACACAATAGTGAAAACAGGGCGGACAACTGTTCCCTGGGAAGGACAAGAACCAGGGTGGTATTGGGGATTTGATGTAGTCTCCCTGCTGCAATTGTTTTCATTCTTTCCTGGCTCTACTTGAGAGTGTTTCTGGGAGAGGGTTAGGAGCCAGTTGCTAAAGAGTGATGGGCATAGCTTGATTCCCCCCACAGCATATGCCCAGGTCTATGGGGCAGATAGACTCGGGCTTCCCATCACCGAATCACCCGTGTGCCATCACCATAGTCCAGTGCACTCCCCTCCTCCCACTGTTTTTGATCCCATTCCTACGGGGAGGTTTTTTTAATTGGCAGTTAACAAAAGGTGTATCACGTAGAAAAGGGAAGTTGTTTCCCAAAGGAAAATGAGAGGCTGTTCGCAGAAGGAGGAGGAAAGAGGTAAAAGCAGCATGGCGCTCATAATAGATTTAATCTGCTAGCCATGAGGCTCCTGCCTGGATCTAAGCCTGCATGTTCTTGAATTGGAACAGAGATGTATTAACTATTTTTCGCAATTTCTAAAAATCAAAAGTGAATGAAACATTTGCCCATAATAAAGTGGCACAGCTTTGCCTTCCCCTGAAATTCCCATTCGCCAGTGCCTGAAGATTAATTACCTCCAAAAAATAAAGGAGCTATGCTGTGGGCGGCTCTTTTGGTTTTAGGTTATTGACAAGTGAATCACTGTTACTGGACCGTGTATTTTGTTAGACACAGTTCTTCCACTCATGTGAGGAGTAGTGAGTATTGAGGTCCTGGCAGAAGCTGTTGGGTCAAGGAAAAAGCAAGTGGGGGTGCTGTTTTGAGGGGCTCTGGGAGAGAATGGGTTGTTAAAGTGAGGTGCTCAAGATGCCTTTGAAACGACTCAGGCCTCTGGAACACTGAAAATAGAGCTCTTGGCAGGAAAGAAGTTGTAGTATGATATCCTCTAGGCTAGTTACAGCCTTTCAATACAAAATGGAACCTTGGTGTTTTGTTTGACTCAACCAAAATTTCACATTGATATCGCCATGCAGCCTGTTGGCCAACTGTCTGGTGGGTAAAGCAAGATACATGTAGAGGCGGATGCAGCTCTGTGTGTGTGTTATATTATTAAGCCAAGAGCTTAATACTTAAGCTAAAACACATGCATTGTGCCTACTGTTTATTTGTTTACTATTTGTTTTCTTTTCTTTGCCAGGTATTCAATACATAATTCAGGCATTAGTTTCTCGGTTAAAAAAGTAAGTTCTTGATTTATAGGGGATGGGTAGATATTATCAGAGAAAGAAGGATTTTTGTATAGTTTGCTTATGGAGCTAAGTCATGCTGTTTCAGTCATAACTAAAACAGTGAATCCAATTTTCTGCTCTGCCCATCAGCAAGGCGAGACCATCGCTGATGTTAGAACACTGCCCAATGCCACAACAGTGGACAATATCCGCTCCATCTTTGGAAATGCTGTTAGTCGGTATGTTTGATAATCTTTTTTTTTTTTTTAATATTTTTAAAGATTTATTTATTCATACAGAACTGGGGTACAAGCCAGAGATGTGGAGGGTGATAGGATTCATCAGAGATAGAGCGGGGAGCAGAACAGGCAGATTGACGAAGTATACTGCTGAGGGGAGCAGCGGGCGGGTCAGGAGAGGTCTGCCGCGCCATGTGGATCTCCTCCGGGGCAGGCAGGGATCGAACTCATGCTGAAGTGGCTTTAGCTTCTTAGTGCTGTGCTTTAACCCGCTGTGCCACCAGGGAGGGCCCTGATAATCTATTTTTAAAAAATATTTTATATCCCAGGTCTTGGTTTATCATTTCATCACATTGTTTTGGACTGTCAAGGTAGCACTTGCCTGAAGAGTTTACTTTAATCAAATATGCCTCTTGCTTCAGATTTCTTAAGAGTCATTATTTCATATAATCCCCACTTGCTGTGGTGTGTTATCTCTTGGTGCTCACCCTGCATCAGACTGAGACCTCTCTTTGCCTCAGTCTTCAGTGTCCCCTTCACCTGATATTTCCTACTTTAGGATTTATTCACTGCGTTCACTATTTAGGAATTGCCCTTCATATTCCAGACTTTGTGGGAAAAGGTCAGGATGTAAAAATGATTAAGTATTTTCTACCCTAAAGACTCCTTGTCTGGCAGCTAGCAAGCAGCTTTGTGTCCCCAAGTCTTCACTGTCACAGAAAGCAGAAGAAGGGAAATTGCTTGCATTACGGATTCCTCATTGCACTCCCTCTGCAGGTGAAAACCACCGCTTACATGATAGATTCTTGGCTAAATCTCAGCACGGGACAAAGCCCAGCGGGCCTATGTCATCATCTGAGTTATAACGCTAAGACCTTTCTGTATGTGAGGCTTACAGATAGTGGAGACATACAGATGAGTGAAAATGGCCCTGATTTGCCTTTTCCTACAAAATTTTTTTTTAATGAATTTTATTATTTTTTTCCTTACAAATCTTAAAAGTAGCAGCAATGATCCCAGAAGCCAGTTTTCTCCTTCGAAAGACAAGGTATTCATTCTTTGAGCAAAACCAAGTTCCTATCTGAGGGAGAGTCAAGTAGCTTTAAATTACCCTTCCTTTCTAATTAGGTGTTAATTTTTTAACTATGTTCTCAGGACAGAGAAAGCTATGTTGTACAGTGAAACTTTCAAGAGTTAGAATTAGTTGTTAGGAAATTCCTAGGTATTGTGAGAAATGAGAAGTCCCCCCCAAGTGGGGGAAATTAGAAGTCCCCCAAGTGTGTTTCCAGAACACAAGCCTGGAGTCATTTGGGGAAGAAAGGGCTTGCTGGTTCACATCATGTGTGGGAAATGCTGAAAGCCATATTCTCAGAGATTCAGAACATATTACTGCATGAAAATCTTCTGCCATCCATTTAGCAAAGGCTTAATGACTGCCTGCTGTTGACTCAGCTCTGTGCTGTAGGATAGGGAGAGAGTCGGGAGTAACACAGCATTGATTCTTACCATGAGAGGACTCACTTAGTTGGAAAGACATGAAATAATTACTGCCATTCCTTAGAGATTGTGCTAGATGCCTCAAAGGAAAACATAAGGCACAATGGAAGAACCTCTCCAAGTCAGGGATAGTCAGAGAAGGCTCTTTGGGGAGGGAACGCCTGAGACATGAGGGAAGAGGGGGATTAATCAGCTGACAGAAGGTCAGGAGTAAAATGTTCCAGGCCGTGGGCCCAGCACTCGGGAAGGCCCAAGGGCGGCAGTCAGGCCTGTGTGAGGCCTTTCTTGCACCTACTAATCTCACCTCCTCTCAGAGGCTCTCTGAGGGGAATACCAGCCAGATGGTGCAACTCAGCAAAGATGAATTCTTTGGGATATCATCGTTGGAATTTAGCTACTAAGATGCATGAGCATTTCAGCACATACAATCCCACAATTTAGACTTGGCTTTGTGTCCTAGCAGTAGAGCAGTGCTTGGCAGACAGAATAAGTGCTTGAAATTACAGACTGAATGAGTGGCCTGACAGAGGGGTGCAGGGATGTCACCTCAGCAAATCTGGGAGGGAGCCCTGATTTTTCCAAGTCTGGTTCTTCATAATATTTAGATTTTCTAGCGTTTTCAGTAGCCTCAAAATGTCTTTTTTCCATTTAGAGAACTGATTGAAGTTGGATGTGAGGATAAAACCCTTGCTTTCAAGATGAGTGGCTACATATCTAATGCAAACTACTCAGTGAAGAAGTGTATCTTCTTACTCTTCATCAACCGTAAGTGAAATAAAAGCAAGTGGGGAAATCCAGCCAACGGGGCTCTTACAGGACCATGGGAAAATTCCCGATTCACAGTTTGAAGTACCCTCCGAGAAACCTCATGTGGAGATGTGGTTTGATAGGCCTAGATTTGCTCAGCCTGCTGACATGTGCTCACTACTCGCTGACTGTTTGCTGACCCTAGGTCTCAATTTTGAGTTGGAGCCCAGGAGAGGACAGCCCAGAGCCCTGTGAGCCAGCATCCTTTCCTCACCTGCTGCATCAGAACCTCACAAGCAGGCTGTAGGCAGATGTTTGTTCTCTCTGTAGAGCAGGCCCACTGATCGAAACTGCTGCAGACACTGGAGAGGGCAACCTTGGAGTAGGCGCTGTAGTTAAAGAAAAGAAGTGGAGTGCTAAGACCCTTGAGAGTATCTTAGTAAGGAATGAATTATTGATGATACACAGAGTTGTATTGGAAACCAAGGAGGTCGTTACCTCTATGCACTTGAATTTTTCTCCAATTCCTTTCCAGCCTTTTTCTCTCTGCTGACATATTATTTACGATTGCTACTTATTTAGTAAATACTAGTTGCATTCTTCTTCTTTTTACTTATTTGCATATTACATGGTTTGAGAGACAGTGGCAGGCAACAACAAGATGTTGTTGTGACTGTTTTTCCTCCAGAAACAAGATTCATCTCTCTATTCATTTCTTACCATTTCGCCACATAGGTCTTTTTACCTTTATTGCTTAAAGCAATTCATAGTTATTTTATAGTTTTATAGTTTTGCTTGCTAGTTCTCTACGGATAACAGTATATTCCCCCACCCACTTATGGTGATAATCAACTATAAAGCAGTTGCTCAAAGCAACAGAGAAACAGTAAGGAAGGAAAGAGCTGGTATTTTATAAACACATTCTGTTAAACTGGTTTATATTAACAGGGTTTTCCCCTACTTCATTAGGGGAGACTTAAGACTGATCTATAATAAAGTTTGCTGTAATCAAAGCTCAGAAAGTTTTCACTTGTGTTTTCCCTACCCATGGACAATAACTGCTCTGTAACACATGTGTTGACAAGTAAACAAGTAAACAAGTAAACATCAGCACAGTGCCCTCGAGTAGCCCATGTTGGTGCTTTGGCCACATGGACTGCATCGACTTCAGTTAACCCGCTCATGATGCCAAGTTCCCAGCCGCAGAGAGAGGTCAGGCCGGCAGGCATGGACTCAGTTATCTGCACACGGTAGGCTCACTCAGGTGGCAGGGACACAGAGCAGTCCTTACTGAGTCAGAAACATCAGCAGTGTGATTCCTTTTACCAGGCGCCCCCACTGCCAGGCCTGTTTGGGCAGGATGCGTGTTGCAGAGTACAGCGACACTGGCCAGGGCCATGGACGTTCAGAGACTAGTAGGCACCTCGTTGATAAAGTCATGGCCACGCTTCTCATTGACAAATCCTTGGCTACCTTGACCCAGGACAGCAGATCAGCAGCAGGCCATGTGTCACAGCAGCACAAACAGCTGTGTTTTCTAAAAATAGACCTCCCTGGGATTTTTAGTTTTATTTATCCCAGCTTGCATTGTTCTCCACCCCCGCAAACCTGCCTCAACTTCTAAATTACCTTAAACACAGCCAGTTATTTGTATTTCTGAAGTGCCTGGCAGACTCATCTTTCATGACTCAGTGTGTGTACCTGCTGTCGGAACTCCCTGAGGGGTCAGTTGCGCCCCTCACCTCACCTCTCTGTGGTGCTTACGTGTACAATGGGAGACAGTACGTATTTGCATTAGTGGAGCTACGTCACACTGCCCACCATGCCCAGCAAGCGCAAAGGTGGCCCGTCAAGGTAAACTGAGGGCAGGAAGTGGGGACAGAATGTACTAACGTCCTGCTTTTGCCACTTGGGCAAGAGGCGAGAGCTGCACATCCCCCATGAGATGCCGGGAAACAGCAACTGACCCCTTCCCCCCCAGGATCTGAGAGGGTGCCACTCCAGAGATGTTCCTCAGGTAGTGCCATGATTGATACGAATATGCACCTGTTGCCTCGCTCTTCAGAACAACTTTGAGCTGGTTACTTTCATTTTTTTTTTTTTTAGACCGTCTGGTAGAGTCAGCTTCCTTAAGAAAAGCCATAGAAACAGTGTATGCAGCATATTTGCCTAAAAACACACACCCGTTCCTGTATCTCAGGTAATGCAGCTACTCCCAGCCATGGCGCACAAGGAACAGAAGTTTGTTCAGCTTTCCTCATTGAAAGAGGTGGGCTTACAGTGCTCTGTCAGAGTGAACCCCATAATATGCCACGGGCCGGACAATGTGCTCTGCCTTCTCACGGGCACAGCTTTCCTTTTCCCTCATACATTGGGTCTTGCAGCAGAGCCTCCCTGAGAGTTCTGTGTTGGTGAAACAAAGGTGAATGAACATCTTAAGGCATCGGCCCCCACCAGAGAAACCCTTCCTCTCCCAGGGTCCCTCTGGCGCCCTCTGTTGACAAAGTGTTACAAAGCTCCGGAGCAAGCATATGGCAAGTGGATTTGGAGCTAATTAATAGCTGACCCAGCCTCTAAACTTACTTTCATATTAAATTTTAATGACAGAACGCTGTCTGGCGTATATTCTTGTTTGGATCCTCAAATAATGCTGAAAAATAGGTAAAGACAGCTTTATGCTTACAGATGAGACAACTGAGTGATAGACTTGCCCACAGGTTTATGGTTCCAGATGAGAGGACATACCTAGACATTCTGCTAATCTTGGAATCACAGTATTAGCAGCCTAAATGATGTTATTAAATGACATATAATAAATGTCAGGTGCCTGCAAATGTTTTATATGATTTTAATTCCCACCATATATTATATCCATTTTGTGAATGAGGAACCTTAACAAAGAAAGATGGTGTAACTTACCCCCAAACTACGTAGCTTTTATGTAGCAGGGCCAGCATTTTAACCAGGTCACTGAGATTTGACCTTGAGGTCTTGATTGCTGTGTCATTTAGCCTCCCTTGTATGATGAGTGTGATTTTTACCCCCCCAAACCCCCCACCATTCTAAGATGATAATTCCCCTTTTCTCCCTGCCAGTTTAGAAATCAGCCCCCAGAATGTGGATGTCAATGTGCATCCCACAAAGCATGAAGTTCACTTCCTGCACGAGGACAGCATTCTGGAGCGGGTGCAGCAGCACATTGAGAGCAAACTCCTGGGCTCCAACTCCTCCCGGATGTACTTCACCCAGGTGGGGGCGCTTTTCACCCACCAGCTTCTTTACCTTTGCCACCTTAAAACATGCTATGCAGATGTAACAGCCCAGGTATTCTTATCTGTTGCTTTAGGACCTTCATGATCATTGTCTCTCAGCAACATTTCTTTCTTTGAACCTCACTAAAAGCATTGTATTACCCCTACCTCCATCTAGCACTTTCAGTGGCTCCCCAGGGAAATGAGCTACCTAAAACATAGGGGCACCCTCTTCCTGGGTCCCTCTCCACTGGAGATGTTTAGGAGGAGGCTGATCCCACCTAGATGCCAAAGTGGAGGGGCGGGGTATGAGGGCTGTTCATGGCACATAGTCCTAGGCTGTCTGCTTCCACATCTCCCTCATGGAAGGGGAACTGGCCATTCCCACACCGGAGGACAGTTGTAAGCAGTGGGCGAACAATGAGAGGTAAATATCTAGAATAGGGCCTTGCACCATTCATCTTACTTAGTTATCCGGGTTCTAAGTACATAAGGTCAATTATCTAGGCTCCCAAGCTACCCCCCTTCTTAGGAGCCCTCAGTTTTCCCATCTGTAAAACAAGCAGGTTGGATAACAGGACCTGGTATCCCCTCCTAGTTCTGACATGTGGTTTGGGGCAGTCCTGTATCATCAGGAGCTTCGTGAGAACACCCAAGAGAAGCTACAAAAGTGGAAATAGTCTCCCCATTAAATTATACTGGGTCTTGCAAGCAGAAGGTGGGATTCTGAGAGGCCTCCTTCACAGAAAACCTTTTAAGTTACCAAGGATAAATATTTCTCATGATAATATTACCCACCTGAAAGAAGCTGGGTGGGAAATGGGCAGGCCCTAAGTAGGGAGAGGAAATGCACCTGGAGCAGCTCCCCGCCCCTGAACACAGGCGATTGGAGATTCTTGGGACAGAGAGGAAGTGAAAGGTCTCAGGGCGCTCCTGGTGACCTCTGAAAGGTGTGTGTGGCAGGCGGGCAGAGGGAAGTTCTGCCTGGGAATGGGCGCTCAGCCTGCTCTCCTGGGCTTGGGTGTCAGCATGAGCCCGAGGTGTTAGAGAGGTGAGAAGTGCTCAGATGCTGCAGGTCCCGTGCGTGCACGGGAGGCTGGTCCCACCTAGATGGGCAGAGCACCCACATACGCCCAGTGGGCTGAAGGAGTCTCGGGTGCGGAAAGCTCTGGGAGCGGCATCTGGGCCACAGGAACTGCCCGGCAGCTGTGGTTGGCTTATGTCTGCTGTGGCTCTCTTAGCCTCCACACCCCTTTCCTGCTGCTCGTGCTCTGCCTGCCTCCCCAGATATGGGCAAGACACTGCTGGGTGCCCGCAGAGGTAGCATAGAGGGTTCCTACCTTCGCAGAGGAACGCACATCTCCTGAAGATTACAGCCCACGCACAAACAGGGCTGTGTGGAGAGGATGGGGTGGTGGTGGGGGGGGTAGGGTGCCTTCTTTCCCAGGCTTGGGCAGTCAGGGAAGGGAAGGAGGTTTATGGAGGCTGACAGCCCACGATTGAGGAGGAATGAAAAGGACATTTCCCTGTTTCTGACAGAAAAACATTGAGGATAAAAGCCAAGAGGACTCTGAGGATCTGAAAGCCCAGAGTACCAGCCTGGCCTTCATTGCGATCACCTGGGAAGCACGGAGAAAATCCCGCCTTCATCCTCCCCAAGTCAATCAAGCCTTGGGGGTAGAGCGTGGGCACCAGTAGTTTTAAAGCCTTCACCAAGTGCTTTCATGTGAGCAGGTGAAGCACGGCTGGCTTAGTGTGGGCCTGTTGTTACACTGGTGAAAACTGAGCTGACGAAGGAAACCAGGGCGGGGTTTTCTTCAGCTTATTAAAGAGTATAGCTTTGACTTGATGGCCACTGATGGGACTGATCGGTGTTCAGTGAAGAATGTGGAAAATGAATTGGAGGGGAACAGGAGGGAAACTCGCAGCAGTTTGGGAGAAGGGGTGAGGGGTTTGGACCAACAGTTGGCAATAAATCTAGGATCGCCAGGACCTAGAATGAGTTGGATGGCCGCGGGTGAGAGGGAGCCATCCTGGCCTAGTTGAAGTCTAAGGAACGCAATTGCTGCAGATACTGGAGTTAGACTGACTTCACTGAGAAAAGCACTTTTCTGTATTTTTTCTAACACATAAAAGTAGTGATGCAACACATCTCATGAAGCTATCACACAGCTTCAAATACCATCAACATTTTGTCATTTAGTTTATCTGTCCCTCTCCCACTTGGGGTAGGGAAAGGAATATTTTAGAGCACATTCCAGGCATTTAGGTTTTCCCTGGTATTTCATAATGCATCAAAATTTTTTTCTGACATAATCACAGTGCTTTTTATTACACCTCATAAAATTAATAATAACATCTTACAGCCAATCCATTCAAATACCCCATTTATCCATAAAAGATATTTTCTAGTAGTTTATTTTTAAATATTTATCCATCAAGATTCTATCATTTGGCTGCTGTATCTTTCATCTTCATTTCGGTCTCTGAAAGTCACCCTAGTTGCTTTGTTTTTGTGCCCATTGATAACATTCTGAAGGCTGCCTGTAGAATAATGCACATTTTGGATTGGCTGAATGCTGCTTCTTACTGTCATTTGATTTCTCCCAATCCTCCATGTTTCCTATAAACTGGAAATTGGATCCAGAGGTATGATTATCTACAGATTAAAAAATTATTTTTTGCTAGATAATGCCATGCACTTCCCACCGGTCTCAGCAGGTGGCGCACTCTGTCTTGATATGTGATTCTGGAGATTAGTGCCACAGAGGGGTCAGCTAGTGATGGGCTGATTGATCCATCAGAAAGTTCCCCAAGGATATTTAGCGTACCGACTTCACCATTCACTGGTAACCATAACCCGAATCAGTGATTTCCCTGGATTGCAAGGTTATGGTTTTCTGCTTTATTATTTCCTTTGTGCTAATTAGCTCTGCGATATTTCTGTATAGAATAACTTACCTTTCCTCGTTGCCCAGAGCTACAGATTATCCTGAAATACAGTTCAGTCCAGAAAGTAAAGTTAAATGCTGAATTCTGTCCCTATATCAGTTTGCAAAGTGGTATCCTAGCAATCTTGAGTGACATATAATGACTTTCCCCCCTCTGACTCTTCTATTTCGCCCTCTCTCCCTCTCTCACCCCCATGTTTCTTTTATTTTCTTTGTAGTATTTTGTCATAACTGTTAACAAACTGATGTTAATTATAATTATTTTCTTCTTTGATGTGCAAATTATTCCATCTTAGGCCAGCAAAAGCCCCTACAAGCTCTGTTCTTGCCTTTTTCATCCAATTCCAGTATTCTTTGATAGTTTCCTTTTTCTGGCAAGACAAGCTGTTACAGGCTCACTTTGTGCTTTCCCAGCCCAAACCCTGGATTTGACTGTTTCTCAAAGTAGCTCTGGTTTATTGTAGTGGGCACAATATTTAGAGACTATAATCTGGGATTGGGGGTCCTCACTGCTGCTGGTTGGTCACTGATACTCGGCCTTTCCAATACACAGAACTAGGAAATAAATGTACTTACAAACAGAATAGTGGTTATCTGAAGCTGGGGGCGTAGGAAGGGGTGTGTGGAATGGTGGGTTTGTGTTTAATGGGAACAGTTTCTCTTTGTGAGGATGAAAAAGTCAAAAATATATATGTACTCAGTGCCATAACTGTACACTTACAAATAGTTAAGTGGTACATTTTTAGTTACATGTATCTCACCATTAAAAAAAGATCCTCTTACAGCAGGAAAAAGAAGGTAAAAATACAAGAACTTTACATTCAGGTTTCCATTTCAAATCAATTTTAAGATTATAAGAAATTTGCTAAAATCTTCAATTTTATATTTGCATATGCTTTATACTTCAAATTTTGGGTAAAATTGCTTCCATAATCATCCTGCCTCTAGCTTCTTTCTCCCATACTGCTCCATTTGGGGACTTGGGATTTTCTAGGTCATATTCTGAACCTTCCCATTTTTTTTAACAGACTTTACTACCAGGTCTTGCTGGCCCCTCTGGGGAGATGGTTAAATCCACAGTGCCTGTGACCCCCACATCTGCTTCGGGAAGTGACAAGGTCTATGGTTACCAGATGGTCCGGACAGATTCCCGTGAGCAGAAGCTCGATGCCTTTCTGCAGCCTGTGAGCAAGGCCCTGTCTAGCCAGCCTCAGAACACTGCCCCAGAAGACAGGGCAGATGCTGCCGGCAGAGCTGTGCCGCAGGATGAGGAAATGCTTGAACTCCCAGCTGCTGCTGAAGAGGCTGCCAGGAATCAGGGCTTGGAGGGGGATGCAACAAAGGAGACTTCAGATACGTCGGAGAAGAAAGGGTCTCCATCCAGTCTGGGCAACCCCAGGTATGGCGTTTTGGGGAAAGGGCAGCTTGCCTCCTTTGTTCTTTAATAAAGCTGCCTTCTAACTTGGACTTTTCATGGACTTTGTCCATCTTCTCTCCACCCAACATGTTCCCTTGACCTTGGAAATGGGCAGTGCTTGGTCTGTCTGCCTTTCATCTTGGCTTAAGTCAGCTATCATAGTGGCCTTTGGAGTTCCTTTAATGTCCATAGTGCCATTCATTAGTTCAAATTACATTGGAAGACTTAGCCTTATTTCTTTTTTAAAGATTTATTTATTTATTCATACAGAACTGGGGTACAGGCAGAGATGCGGAGGGTGAGAGGATTCACCACGTACAGAGTGGGGAGCAGAACAGGCAGATCAATGAAGTACACTGCTGAGGGGAGCAGTGGGCGTGTCAGGAGAGGTCTGCCGCGCCATGTAGATCTCCTCCCAGGGAGGTGGGGATCGAACTCATGTGGAAGTGGCTTAAGCTTCTTAGTGCAGTGCTTTAACCCGCTGCACCACCAGGAAGGGCCTTTAGCCTTATTTTTTAAGAAATGAATTTTGATAAAACTTCCACAGCAGTGGTGGCTAGACAGGAACACTGAAAATATCTGGAAGATTGTCTTTCTTTTCCCCTGGCATCACCAATTTATTTATTTGGAAGCAGAATTAAAAGTACATTTGACAGGGGCCCTCCCTGGTGGCGCAGCGGGTTAAAGCACAGCACTGAGAATCTAAAGCCGCTTCCGCATGAGTTCAATTCCCGCCTGCCCCGGAAGGGACCACATGGCGTGGCAGACCTCTCCTGACCCACCCGCTGCTCCCCTCAGCAGTGTACTTCGTCGATCTGCCTGTTCTGTTCCCCACTCTGTCTCTGGTGAAGCCTCTCGCCGCTCCTGAACCTCTGGCCTATACCCCAGTTCTGTATGCACAAATAAATAAATCTTTAAAAAAAAAAAAAAAAAGTACATTTGACAGAGATGAAATGTATGTTTATTCTGATACTTCTCCTAAGTGGTAATCTAATGCAGGATACATTACCGATACATTTTACATTATTTCTTCAGGGCTGTGGTTTGTCAATGACCTCAAACCTGGGTTCTTCAAATTTGAAGTTAGGGAATGTGTTCATGCCTTCTTTGCCATACATTTGCTTAAACTTAAAAAGCTCTCTATCCAGCTCTTGCTGATATTCTGGGCCAGTACCAACAGGGCGTCCAGATGCCTGTTGCTTAGTTTTTGCATCCTCTAAACTTGTCCACAAAGATTTTCTGTACAGGATCAAGTTCCTTAAATGCCCCTGCCTTAGCACCAGTTTTCCTTCTGAAGTGAACTGAGGCTGCAGACTGAACAAGAGAGGAGAACTTCAAGAGCCTCTGAAGAATCACGGTGATTCTGTTCCTTGCAATCAGTCCCCGAGCTGCCAGAGCCACCACCACCACCATTGTTCTCTGGAAGATTTTCTTTCAGCCTACTCAGAGCTATTTTCATTCCTCTCAGAAGAAACACACTTTCTCAACCCAAAATATAAGACCCCTGAAACCTAGAAGCTAGTGGAAAGAGCTAGAACACGGGCAGGGAGGACGCACGCGATGGGTGTTTGATTTGGTTGCTCCTAGTGTGTTGCACCCATGACTACGACATGACATCTCCCTGTCTCTGCCAGGCGGCTGTGGCTTCTTCAGGTGCACAGGTGCTGAACCTGGAGCTCGGGGACGCCACTTGCCTATGGCTACACACGAGTCCCTGGGGCCAGTTGACCATTGGAACCTTAATTTCAGCTTGCTCACTTCTGAGTCAGCCTAGTGAGACGACTTCTGAGGACTCCTTCCCAGAGAATAACACAGGCCGCTAACATTTATCGAACGTGCTCTGTGTGCCAGATGCTCTGACCTCAGCTAAAGCTCTTAAACAGACTTGCAGGGAGGTGCTACATTTCTGTCTATCACTTGGGGGAACTGACACCACAAACTGTTCACCACACAGCAGTCAAAGAAATCCTTTTATGCCAAAAATCAGATTGTATCGCTCTTCTGATGACAACCTGTGGTTTCCCACCACACTTGAGTTCAAACCACCCTCCCTCTTCAACCACTGCTCTGCTACTCTCCCCGGATGCTCTGGCCACACCGACTGCGGCTGAGCAGCACTGACTGAGTTTCTCACCACCTTTGTGCTCCCTGCATACTGAGCCTAGGAAGATTCGGGGTTCTTGTTACTCAGGTTGCAACTCAGATGTCACTGCTTGCAGAGGCCTTCTTTGTTCTTTTAATCTCAAGATCTCTCTTCAGTCCATTCCCCATGCTACATGACCTTGTTTTATTTTCTTGCTGCTACTTAAGTCACGTTGCTGTTTGCCTCCCACCCTAGAAAGTGCTGTGAGGGCCTGTGGCTTGTCCTGTTTTTGATGGCTGTATGTAGTTGATGTTATAGCAGTAACTGATGGAAGGTTAGCTTGAGGATGAAATGGATGAGGCTTGGCAAAGTCAGCTTACTTGTGGCTGGGCCCAGCTAGACTCCAAGGTCCTGCTGACCCACAGTGGGCTGCTGCTGGAGTCTGCGGGCTGTCAGATGAGCAGTGTGCCAGGAATCAGACTGACCTTGCTATTACACAGCAATCCCTCTGCAGATGTGCAGAGGGAGCACAGAGAAGCTGCTCCCTTTTCCAGAATGCAATTCATAAAATTTGTTTCATTCCTTTATTATTTTTTAAAGATTTATTTATTTATGCATACAGAACTGGGGTACAGACCAGAGGCTCAGGGGTGATGTGAGGCTTCACCAGAGACAGAGTGGGGAGCAGAACAGGCAGATTGAAGAAGTACACTGCTGAGGGGAGCAGCGGGTGGGTCAGGAGAGGTCTGCCACACCACGTGGTCACCTCCGGGGCAGGCGGGAATCGAATTCATGCGGAAGCAGCTTTAGATTCTCAGTGCTGTGCTTTAACCCGTTGCGCCACCAGGGAGGGCCACATTCCTTTATTTTTTTTTAAAGACTTATTTATTTATATATACAGAATTGGGGTACAGGCCAGAGGTGCAGGGCTTTAAGAGGATTCACCAGAGACAGAATGGGGAGCAGAACAGGCAGAGTGATGAAGTACACTGCTGAGGGGAGCAGTGGGTGAGACAGGAGAGATCTGCTGCACCATGTGGGTTACCTCCTTGGCCAGGGATCGAACTCATGCTTTGGTGACTGTGTAGAGCTTCATAGTGCTGTACTTTTACCGGTTGCACCACCAGAGAGGGCCATCATTTTTTAAGATTTATTTTTACTTATTTATGCATACAAGAACTGGCCAGAGGTGTGGGGATGAGAGGACTCACCAGAGACAGAGTGGAGAGCAGAACAGGTGGATCCACTGAAAACACTGCTGAGGGGAGCAGTGGGCAGGACAGGAGAGGTGTGCTGTGCCATGCAGGTCAGCTCCTTGCACCGTCAGGGAAGCCCCCACAATGCATAAAACTTGACTGAGTTAAATAACAGGAGAAAAAAACGAACAGTAATGATCTGCCAGTTCCTTATCTTCACTGCAGAAAGAGACATCGGGAAGGCTCTGATGTGGAAATGGTGGAAGATGAGTCCAGAAAGGAAATGACAGCGGCCTGTACCCCCCGGAGGAGGATCATTAACCTCACCAGTGTTCTGAGTCTCCAGGAAGAAATCAGTCAGCGGGGACATGAGAGTACGTAAGTGCAGAGGTCTGCATGGGACTCCAAGGGTTCGTCTGCTAGTGTGACGTTTTTGGCAGTGTAGAGAACATTCACGTGGGGTTGGCCCCTGGAGTGAGTGGAGCAAACCTCGCTCCTTTTACTCACCCGCAGCAGCAGCAGTAGCAGTTTAAAGACCATTTTCAACTGGGAAAGGGAAAAAGCCTGGTTTTAATTAGAATTAATTGGTATTCTCATTAAACCATGGGAATCAGAGTAAAGCAGCATTTATATAAGCTTCAGTTTGTTTCTCAGTTCAAAGCAATGTAATCGAATTCCAGTCCTGTGGCTTGAGTGGGGTGGCTGCCTCCGAGGGGATCCAGTGGGGGCCCCAGTCCTGGCGTTACCCTTGTACTGTGTCATCTCAGCATCTGACAGCCTTTCTGGGCCTCAGTTTTTCAGATTAACTTTACCCTTGGGTATCATGCTGATCAGGGCTAAAATGTAAGTATATTGGTTACACAGTAAAGAGTCAGATAGTTTTAATATTCTCAAGACAAAGTCGTAAGTCATTTTCATCTTCGTTGGAGAAAGCTTTTCAGGATACCCTAGTGTAGAACTAAGTTTTGTTTTGTATTAAAGATTGATTTAGTTATGCATACAAGAACTGGGGTATAAGCCAGAGGTATAGGGGGTGAGAGGATTTACCAGGGACAGAGTGAGGAGCAGGACAGGCAGACTGACTGAAATACACTGCTGAGGGGAGTGGGCAAGACAGGAGAGGTCTGGTGCAGATGGGGGTCACCTCCCTGCCTGGGGATCGAACTCATGCTTCAGTGGTTGACAGTTGCGCTGCCTTTTTTTTTTCATATTTTTTTTCCATCATTTTGTGCATTTTTCCATCTCAGTTGTAATCCCCTTAGGCTTCCCATCACCAGATCACCCATGTGCCATCACCAAAGTCCAGTGCACTTCCCTCCTCCTACTGTTTTTGATCTCATTCCCACTTCACCCCCATAAAATGTCTCTGGTATATAGCTGTTCCTTATTATTTTCTTGCCTTGTCCATTATACTCCTGATATGAGTGGATAGTGCTGTCTTTAACCTATGTGCCACCAGGGTAGCCCAGAACTGAGGGTTTTTTTTTTTTTTTGTCTCTTCTATGGTCTAAGTACAAAACTAGAGGGTGGCCTTAGTAAGATATATTCAAAGAGTAGGTGTTTATGAGAGGCAGCCTGGGAGGTGAAGCCCAGAATCTTTATTTTAGGGGATATCAAAGTCAATACTCAGTCAGACAAGTCTCTGGAGTCTTACCCACCCCTGTGGGCACGCTGTCAGTCAGTAAACAAGGTTATTTTTGGAAGGTCCAGGATCCACTCAGTGTTCCATGGAATTAGGCTCATTTCAGGGATTAGAAATGGCTGCTTGTCCCATACTTTATCTGTTAACAAATGAGGGCAAGTCATGAGAACTTGCTGTCATTTGAATGTGAAACTCTGCTAGACATTTTATCTACAACTTGATTTCCTTGGTTTTTGGTAAATACTGGTTCTAGAAGTACATACTCTTAATATGGTTTGCCACCAGATGAGGGTTTTTAGGTCTGTGAAGTCAGTGACAAACCTTGCTATGCCTGTCCCTAAGAAATGACCCCTGACCCCGTGTTAAAAGGTACCATGGTGTTGCAGGTTGTTTAGTTAAGTAGCTGACTGCGACATAAGAATGAAAGACACTGTAACCGAGGAAGGTGGCCACCCAGGGTCCCTGGGCCAACATCTGCCTGGGGTGCTTCATCATCTCAGGCAACAGCCGCAGGCCCTGGACCGCACTGCGGCCAGGCCGCCCTCCTGCCTGCAGGAACCAGGGGTGGGCCACCCTTCCTTTGGCTTTACTTGTTGCTTTTCAGTGAGACCCAAGTTTTTCACGAACTCGGCTATATGGTTTGGTTTTGAAGCACAGAAGGATATTGTCCCATTTTGCTACTTGCAGAAGGAAATGCCCACAGCCTTCCAGTGTTGTGGAGCTGTCTGGGGGGAATGAAGTTTAAGTCCTGGAAGTCCAGAGAGGCCACTGAAGAGGTCGGGCAGCATCACAAAGCCAGTGAAGAAAAGGCTTGCCGGTCTTCTTGGTTGTGTTGCCTGGAGGACAGGCAGCGCTGAATGACGAGACGCCCCCTCCCTTCCCTGCCGTGCTCACTCACTCGCAGAGGCCCTTCAGTAGCTGTGGATGCGTCAGAGCATTCCATGAACAGTCTGGATGGAAAATCTCTGACCCTGTTTTAGTGGCTTACACTGCCTTCTCTTTCCTCCAGTGCCTCATTATTCAAGATTATTTGATGTTCTCCAGCTTTTAAAATAATCATTTTCCTCCTACGCAGAACATCCTGTAGAGACATTGAGTTTCCAGTGGGAACAGAGAAAAATGCTTATTCTAAAAATGAAGAAAATAAGCCTCTTTATATGGGGGCGGTAGGGGCTGGGATGTGGGGTGAGAGAGCAGTGTGCGTTGCTGAATTTATATAATAAATTGTGCTGCCCAAGCTTGAAAAAATAAGGCACAGTAACAAGATGTGCAGGCTTACAGCTCCCCTGTTGTGCCTCCCAGTTGTGGTGCCGTTTTCACGCCTTTCATTAAAAAGAGAAATTGTACACCCACACTACACAAACAGGTACAGATGTATTGGTAAATACAAAGCCATGTATATAAAATCCACAAAGGGTCCACAGAAGGCAGGTGAACACCTGCTCAAGAAACAGAACTTATCTGTCTTGAAATGTTACATGCTTCCCTCGATTCCATCTCCTTCCTGCCACCCTTAGGGTTAACTGCTACCCTAAATTTTGTAATAATCATTTCCTTCTTATTAAAGCTTTATCACCCTATTTGTAGCCATAAAAAACTTGCTTAGTTTTGTATTTTTTGTAATGGAACTATCCTCTATATTTCTGCAGTTTGTATATTTATATATACTTAGAAACAGGCATTAAAATTCACCCATCTTGGGTCCTCTCTGGTGGCACAGCGGGTTAAAGCACAGCACTAAGAAGCTAAAGCCACTTTAGCATGAGTTCGATTCCCACCCCGGAGCTAACCCACATGGCGCGGCAGACCTCTCCTGACCAGCCTGCTGCTCCGCTCAGCAGTGTACTTCCTCAGGTGGACTGTTCTGCTCCCCACTCTGTCTCTGGTGAATCCTCTCACTACCCCTGCACCTCTGGCTTGTACCCCAGTTCTGTATGCATAAATAAATACATCTTGAAGAAAAAAAATTTCACCCATCTTGGGCCCTCCCTGGTGGCACAACGGATTAGGATGCAGCACTGCAAGCTGGCTACAGCCGCTTCAGTGCAAATTTAATCCCTGATCCCAGAGGTGATCCACATGGGGCAGCAGACCTCTCCTGACTCACCCACTGCTGCCCTCAGCAGTGCACTTCATTAATCTGCCTGTTCTGTTCCTCACTCTGTCCCTGGTGAAGACTCTCACAGCCCCTGCACTTCTGGCTTATACCCTAGTTCTGTGTGAATAAATTAGTAAATCTTTTTAAAAAAATACACCCATCGTCCTACATTCTGGTTACTTTTTCTGTGTGAGATATCCACTTTGTGACAACGTTGTTGAAGGCCTTTGGGAGGACTCATTCGGCCTGAACCCCATTTTCACTCTTGACCCCCCTTCCCTGCTGAGAGGATCAAGATCTTGGCAGGTTGATTAAGGACCCTGCCCTAGATGGTGTACCTAGGACAGTTGGTTACCACTGGGTCCTAACTCAATGCGCTGTTTTCTAAAGGCGTCATGTAGCCATGTGCCCCTCCAAGGGGGACCCAAGCTTTCCTTTCCTGCTCCTTTTCGCCTGTATTTGCTATTGTCAAGATTCCACCTGTTTGATATTGGTGTCAGTGGTGGTTTTTACTTGCCTGGCCTGGCTACTCATAAGTGCAATTTCTTCTATTTACTTCCCATTCAAAATTTCCGCTCATTTTTCTGGGTTTGGGGGATTTGTGGTTTGTTATTTTGTTGCTGCTGTTGTTTTGGTCTTACTGATTTTAGGAGTAGTCTACAAGAAAACATCTTCATCAATGCTTAGTTCTAATGTAGGCACATTTTATGAGTTGATCTTAAAGATTGACTTTTTAATTTATGTAGAAATACTTCCTTATTCTGCATAATTAAAAATAAGCTTTTATATTGTCTCCCAAAATGCTTGTACTTAGATCTCTAGTCCACCTGGAATTCACCTTTGGTGCATGGTATTTGAGTCAGTTTCCATGTGAGTATCTAGTTGTTCCATAATACTTTCTGTTGTCAGGTTGTTTAAATTTAGTGGCTATTATTTGCTCACAGTCATACCCCCTAGACTTTTCATGGTCTGCTTGAAGAACATCCTTTAGTGGGGCTTGATGGCAAACCGAGTTTTGCTTTCTCTTTCATCCTTATTTTGAAAAGTTTTTTTGCTTGGTTCCAGATTGGCAGTCATTTTTCTCTTTGTTCCTAGTGCCTTTGAGATCTCTTTTCTTGAGCCCTTTGTTACCTGTGTATGTCATAGGTGGATTTTGTTGAACTTCCTAGAGTCAAGGTTTGGAGTCCATCACTTCTGTGCAATATTTTGTCTTCAAAGTCTTCAAATATTCTCTCTCCCCCTGCACCCACTCTCTGGAACTTGGGTTATATATTTACTGTCCTCCGTGTTGTGTAAGATGTCATTCACAATTCTCTCTCTTGGCTACATTCTGGACAATTGCTTTAACTCTACCTTTTAGCTAATTACTTTGACAACTTAGTTTAATCTGTTAAATTTTGATTTCTTATTTCATTTTTCACTTTTAGCAATTTACTTAATTCTCTGGAAAAATCTCCTGTTACGAACTCATTGTACTATCTCTTAAACATAATGAACATACTTATTTTGCTGTGTTTCCAACCTCTGGAACCTTTGTAGATATGATTTGAGGCCCAGACATAATAGTATTTTGGACATTTTAGTATTTTTTCCATTCCACTGAGAATGCAGTCGTTGGGGTCTGTGAGTCACATACAGAGTAGTAGTCTTCCACCAGACTCTTGATTTCAAACCATTCTTGGGCTTTTGTTCTCCTTTCTCCACACCTTAGATCCTGTGAGACTAAAATTCATTCGTTTGTTCCTCTGGTATCTTTGGATAAAATTGTCTTCAGACCTCTCATGACTTCGCTGGGTTCCTGCTTTGTCTTAGATTGTGACCTTTGGGTATTCCTTAGTCCCTTGTTTCATTTAAATAGAATATATTTTACTCTTTTATGTCTTTATCAGTGGAAGGCATCTCTGCTTGTTTGCTATCCTCAATGTGGTACTCGGTGCTTTGGGCTGCACAGAGATCCTGTGAGCTGAGTACTCACCTGTTTTCTGGTTCTCCAGCTCTTCGGGAGATGCTGCACAACCACTCCTTCGTGGGCTGTGTGAATCCACAATGGGCCCTGGCACAGCATCAGACCAAGTTATACCTTCTCAACACCACCAAACTCAGGTAATCAGCAAGAGCCATTAAGTCCAGGATGTATGAGCATAAAAAACTGGGGAGAGCAGCTCAAGGTAGTTGGAAAGGGACCCAGACTTTGAAGTCCAAGTTCAGTCATTTACCATTTACGTGACCTTGGGTAATCTACTTTCCTAAACTATCTCAGATTACTCATCTGTAAATTGGATTGTTATTACTTAACTTGTAGTTGTTATGAACAGTAGAAATGACTTAAGAAACCTAGTGTTTGGTGCTCGATAAATATTGACTGCTGTGAGCCAGGTGTTAAGGGCTTAGTGCTTAGCACGCTAGCACCTGCTGTGTGCAAGAGTGTACTGTGGAGGATGCAAGAGAAAAAAAGACTTGACACCTCCCTTCCCTCCAGCATGGAAATATGACAGGGCTTACTCCAGCCACTGAATGAGTCAGTGAGTTTGACGAGCGCAGGAAGGGTGACGCCAGCACTGCCCTTTGTCAAGCGCATAGCTGGTGACATTTCTGTTGTTTGTATCCAGGGACTTTGTGGATGAGCTCCTGTGACGTGGAGAACCTATATTAAATGTCCTTGAATCAGTACACTGCTACCTTGGGAGGGTGCTGCCAGCTTGCATACCAGAGTCTTTATTCCCGTGAGACCCTTCTGTGCTTCAAGACCCTGCGCAGGAGGGTAGCCACTCCCCATTGCATGAGGTGGCACACGAGATAATCGCCTCGTTGACGCTCTAACCCAGCCCCTGCCCCAGCTCACAGCTTGGTGTTGGCACACTTAGCCTCCTTTCAGAACTCATTCCTCCTAGGCTTGGAATTCTACTACCCTTGTTTGTTAATTTTCAACATATCGAAGTGTTCCAAATCAGTTGTGTTCAGGCTCATTTCAGAGATAAAGATCCAGGCCAGTCCTAGAATTTCAACTATTAATAAAGGGCTTCCCAATAAGAAGCAAAGAAATGTACTGAGCAAACCAGATTCAGATTGCAATGTCTGGACTCAGCACCTGCCTTCCCTACTTTACTGATTCCAATCTGGGGCAATTCAGTCAGTTGCCAGTACCTCAGTTTCCCCACAGCAGGTATAGTAGGTGCTTTGTCTACCTTGATAGTGAAGTCTTCAGACAACATCTGTGGGGTGTAGATAGCTGTAGGACTGTAAAGTACCATTTTTGTCAATAATCTGTTTTTCTAAGTTGTTCGATATATGCTTCAGAACTGCCTTTGGAATGTTGTCGATCAGTGCATCATCCTAAACCATGTTGGTATGTGTCTGATTATTTCTTCTGATTATTTAGAAAGTCTCCCTGTCCTCCCCATACATTCTAAATAATTTTTAATGGTGAATTATAAAGTGATTTTAAAGGATTCTTGGTAAATAGGAGAAAAGGTAAGCAAACAATAACTCCCTAATTCTTACTACAGGTGTAAAAGCCCTTTTATAGCACCAGAGGGTGGGACAGGCATGGCCGACGGCACGCCGGGCAGCGCCTTCACACTGTATCTGTGGTGCCACACACCAAGCTGAGCACAGGGACTGAGCTCCGCAGAGCCCCGGGAGTCCCTCCACAGGGCAGAACTACCACGTCTCATCCCTGCTTCCAGGGCGGTTTCTTCTGTTTTGTCCCTACTGATTGGCTCTCAAGCATGGATTCAGGTTTTCCTTAAAACTACTTCATCTTTTTTTTAATTTTCAGTGAAGAGCTGTTCTACCAGATACTCATTTATGATTTTGCCAATTTTGGAGTTCTGAAATTATCGGTAAGTTTATTTCCTGCTTCTCATTTCTGAGACTTCAACATCTGCTCTTTTTTGAGAAAAACAAACAAACAGCTCTACCCTCCTATCTTATTTGTATTGTATTAAATTTCTCTAAATATGCTTAGGGTAGTTCCTGTCTTGCATGATTTACATATGGAGGTAGCTTTAGTTACAGTAGTTTTAAACAAAGCATAAGTTATTTGGTAGCCAACTCTATTGTTATTACTGTTATTGTCATAGAAGTTAATACATTTCTACTTAATAAAATTTGCAAAGAAAAAAAAATTGAAACTTTCAGGCCTCATGACCCAAAAACAATCCAGGCTCACTATTTTAGTACACTTATTATAAGACCTTTTCGTTACCTAATTTAAATTGAGTTGAAATTTTATTACTTATTGATGTAATTTCCTATCTTTTTACATGTGATATGCCCTACAAAAAATTCTCCTAGGATTTTTATTGGAACTGTGTTGAACCTATAGATCCTTGTGGGGAGCTGACAGGAGGTAATCTTTTTGTTAGCTTTATCCTTTAATATTTCATATTTTTGTTGATCTCACTGCAAATGTCACTTTGAAAACATTTCCAATTGTTGCTAGAATATAAAACCTATATAGAATATAGGTTTTTATACACTGATCTTCTGTCTTGCAACCTTGTTAAACTGACTTAATTTTAGTAGCTTTTTTATGGATTCAGATTTTCTACATGGACAATCATCACATATGTGAAGTCAGTTTTAGCTGAGCCTAGCTAATGCCTTTTATTTTTTTCTCTTGCCTGATTGCACTGGCTGGAACCTTAGTACAATGTTGAATAGAAGTGGTGAGACTATAAATCTTTCTTTTGATCCTTATCTTAGGGGGAAAGCATTGTTTTCACATTAAGGGTGCTTTTTGCTATAAGTAGATTTTTTGTAGACTGGGCCCCCTGTGTGACTAAGAAATTTTCCTTCTTTGCTTAAGAGTTTTTATCCAGAAATAGATTTGGTATCAGTGTAATGCTGGCTTTATGAGTTGCCCTTATTTTCCATCAGAAGAGTTTATGAGTTGGCATTCATTCCTTAAATACTCGGTGTTCACAAGTGAAGCCATGTGGGCTAGATATTTCCTCATGGGAAGGTTAACTGGAAGCTCAGTTTTGATAAAGAACTGTTTGTAGCTTTATGTTTTTCATAGATAAAGAGTTACATTTTTCTTGAGTGAGCTTTGCTGTTTTGCTTCATTCAAGAATGGTTATCCATTTAGGTTTTTGAACTTGTTACCATAAAGTTGTTCCTAATACTTTTTATTCCTTTATATGTCTGTAGGTCTGTAGTTATATAACACTTCATCCCTAATGTTCATAACTTGTGTCATCTCTTTTGAACTTGATCAATCTGGCTAAAAGTTCATTAATTTTATTAATCTCAAAGAATTATCTTTGGTTGCATTGCTTTTTCTGTTTTCTATTTCACTTACATCTGCTTTATGTTTCCTTCTATTTATTTTAGGTTTAATTTTCTTTTCTGTTTATTTCTTAAGGCAGCAGCCGAGGTCATGGATTTGAGGTCTTCTTTCCTAATATAGGTGTTAAGTGCTAGAAATTTCCCCTGCGGGTTGCTTTAGCAATCACAAATTTTCTTAAGTTTTTCCATTTTCATTCAGTTCAAATACTTCCAAATTTTCTTGTGGATTTATTCTGACTCACAAATTATTTGTAAGTCTGCTATCTACTTTCCAATCACTTAGAAATTTTTCAGAGATCTTTGATTTCTAGTTTAATTCCATTTTGGTCAAAGAATATACTTAAAATTGTTTTAGACTTAATGAGACTTGTTTTGTGATACACAACAAAGTCTATGATGGTGTTATGTTCCATGTGCTCTTGAGAAAATGGATAGTCTGGTCTTGTTGACTAGACTGTTCTATAAATGGTAAGTATTTTAAGTTGATGGTTTTTCTCAACTTTTTTCCAGCCTAAGTTTCTATCTACCTGTTCTATCAATTAGTGAGAAAAGGATATTGAAACCTTTAATAAATAATGATAAATTTTTCTTAGCAGTTGTTTTACCCATGTATTTTAAAGTTCCGTTATTGTGTGCATAACTCGGAAGTATTAGGTCTTTTTGACTAATTGACTCCCGTAATGAAAAAATAATAGTGGTATATAACATGTAAAAAAAAAACAAGATGTTTGACAACAGTAACATCAGAGAGGGAGAAATGGAAGGAAAATCAGATATCTTACTTTTAACAGAAAGTTGTCTTTCTCATCAGATGACTTTCTTGAAACAGAATTCAATTTAATATGTTCTCCCTCCCCATCCTCTTTAGTTACTGATGAAGCAGTAAAATGAAATGACCTGCTTAGTGATTTTCTAGAAATATACTTGAGGTAATTATGTTAAGTGAAATGAGCAGAAAGTGAACTATAGATATTGGACAGTTTCAGTCATCTGTGGAATATAAATAACCAAAAACCAGCAGGAATAAACCTTGACCTTAGTGAGAGAATATAATGGTTACCAGAGAGTGGGGAAAGGAAGCAGGGTGGGGACTGGCACAGGTGGCAGGCAAGTGGAACACTTGCACAAATGAAGAGCAGGAATGTGACTCCAAAATTAAAATAGAAGTTGAGAAAAACAATGTAAGTGGGGTCCTTTAAAGCTACACAGAAGACAAGGCCCCAACCGCCCCACCTGTTCAGCAGGCTCTTTCACATCTCTGTTCAAACAGCCATTAGTGTAAATGAGGAAGAGGTTCTGTTGTGGGTTGGCAGGTGAGTGTTAGATTTGTGTTTCTCGCCTGCTGTTAGGATCATAGTTTTGTAAGAATTCAGGCCTCATTTGGGTGTCCTGTTAACACTTGTCCCTTAATGTTCTCGCTCATTCCTAGGAGCCAGCACCACTCTTTGACCTTGCCATGCTCGCCTTAGATAGTCCTGAGAGTGGCTGGACGGAGGAAGATGGTCCCAAAGAAGGACTTGCTGAATATATTGTTGAGTTTCTGAAGAAGAAGGCTGAGATGCTTGCAGACTACTTCTCTTTGGAAATCGATGAGGTACATGGTCACCATTTTTATGCCTGTTCTCTTCTCCAAATAAGAACAGATTCCATTGTTGTTCCAAGGTTAAGATGAGGTTGTCCCCACAAGCAGCAGCATGTGACAGAGGAAATTTCCCATTTGCATTGTTAGGCTACACAACCTCTTCCTGCCCACCGGGGGTGAAGTACCCAGACACAGGGAGACTTGATCCATAGTCCCTGTAGACCAGTGAATGGGACGATGACACTCTCCTTACTGCTACCTCTTACCCCTTTGGGGCTGGTGAGCAGATCCAAAGAAAAGGTTGTTCTGCTTAGGTCAAACAAGTCCTTTAAGTCCTTAGTGTTTCTGTTCCCAGCCCCACCCGCCAAGCACACCCACTGATGTGATGCATGCTCTGGGCGATGACATTTGCTCTAACTATAAACACAGTACTTCTTACCCTTGTCCTGGCCTTTTCTTTCCCAAGCAGGAAGGGAACCTGATTGGTTTACCCCTTCTGATTGACAACTATGTACCTCCTCTGGAGGGTTTGCCTATCTTCATTCTTCGACTAGCCACGGAGGTAAGTGGTCATGCCCACGCTAGTCTTTTGATAAGCATGTGCTGGAGGGAATTTCATCTGGAATGAGAAAGATGAAAAGTTAAAATAGCTGAAGCCACCCTCCCCTCCCCATATACTCAACAATATTCAGCAACATTAAGTCGTCTATGATTTCCATTTAGACATGAAATCTGTTTAAATCACTTATTTTATATTAATACAGTCTTTTTCCTTTGGATCAGGTGAATTGGGATGAAGAAAAGGAATGTTTTGAAACCCTCAGTAAAGAATGTGCTATGTTTTACTCCATTCGGAAGCAGTATATATCTGAGGAGTCAACCCTCACAGGCCAGCAGGTACTGTGGTACACATGCTGGCACTTCACGATTGGAATGGGTCCACACAACAGTTTCATTTCATTAAGAAATTAAACATGCCACCCTTCAGTTCCGAGAACTGCACTGCACATGGTCAACTTTTATTCATTCTATTTATTTCCTTCTGCTGGTCTGGGAAGTACCTCCAGATGTTCTATGATACATAAAAACCTAAGCCATCCCAGTGAAAGATGGGACGTTGAGTGAAACTGCCCAGGGCTAGTGCATCTTACCCTCCCCTGTGGGCCCTTAAGTGTGGAGCCAGCCCTCAGAGTCTAAGCTAGTCTCCTCTGGCTCTTTTAGCTTTTTCTACCTCCTACACTCCTTTACCAGGAAAGCAAAGCTGTTCTGAGGTCAGCTTGACCCAGAAAGGGCCTGGGCTCCTCGTTTCCATGTTACCTTTTCCAAGCAAATAACAATGATTTTCATCAACAACTACTTTGGGTGGGAAGTAGCAGTTGAATAGTGCAAGAATCAACGAGTAGCCACCTTATAACCATCTCAGTGACTGTTATCCGTTGAGGGAGAGAGATATATACCAGTTTTATAGATGAGGACAATAAGGGACAGCTGGCCTTCTCAAATGTTCCCCAGAGCCTGGAGGAGGTGGAACAGATATTCAATCCAGTTGCTACTGGCCAAAGTCCCTAAGGCAATAGGGAAATACCTTATTCCAGTGGGGCAGGAAAGGTAGCACACTTGCCAAGCTGCTCAGAATACAGATGGTCCCAACTTGGGCTGGCTTAACTTACAATTTCAATTTTTCAACTTTATGATGGTAGGAAAATATTAAGCATTCAGTAGAAACCTTGGCTACTTCGTGTTAAGAAAGCACAGCCCACAATATGCCACCAAAACTTTTCAAACTGAGTGCACATCAGCCAGGAACCCAGTGGGCACTGAAAGCAAGGGGAGAGGCTTGTGACGTTTGCCACGTCTTTTCCAGAGTGAAGTGCCTGGCTGTACTCCAAAGCCTTGGAAGTGGACTGTGGAACATGTTGTCTATAAAGCCCTCCGCTCACACCTTCTACCACCTAAACATTTCACAGAAGATGGAAATATCCTGCAGCTTGCTAACCTGCCGGACCTATACAAAGTCTTTGAGAGATGTTAAGTATATGGTCTCCTGTAGACTTGGGTGTTTCGTTTTCCTTTACATTCTGATGTTGGCTGGAGACTCACATTTGCCTTCCAATTAGTTAGTCCTCCTTTGTGCATGAAGGAGTTGATATGAATAAAACTGTCAGTCAGATGTACCCTAATATGATTTCTTCAATTTTACTACATTTGAAGTGCTTCTAGATCAACTTTTACATAGTGAATACATGACAGTGTTGAAGAACCCCAAAAGTAGTTTGAAAGCCATCTGGGCATCTAAAAAGGCTTCCTTGAAGATTTCATAGAGCACACTCTGATTTGATTCTTTATTATGATAAATTTCTAATACCATGTGGTACATGTTATGTTGGTTCAAGTGCTTTTAAAAGAGATCTTGAACTTGTAAGAGACTCTGATGACACTGACTGTGGAGAAAGCTGAACTGGCAATCTAAAAGTACCATCAACAACTAGTGGAAAAACCTTGGGAGAAGGAACAGTCTTTTACCCAGTCAAAGTGGTGCATTTGGTTAATGGCAATGAATATGAATACTTTCTGCTTAAGATAAAGAAACCTCTATGTATTCTTGTTTGAAGGATGATGTAAAAATAAGTATTTAAACTATGCCATTAAAATGAGCTACCTTAGTATTAGCCTGCATTAACACATGTGCAGTGAGCACAGGAGGAATGCTGGTAGTTTTGAGGTAAAATTTAGATTAGAATACTCTGAACAAAAGTCTGTGGATAAGAATAGAAAGCTACTGAAAAAGAAGCCATTCTACTTCAAAAAGACAGGGACAACATAAAGGAAGACTTTCTCTTTACCTCAAGAAAGGCAAAAATTAGGTTCCAAAAAGTAGACCAGGGCATCTCAGAAATGAGATTTCACAAGCCCAGGAGAAGCACAGGCTAAGTGAACGAGAGTGGAGAGAGGAAGGGGGTTTCCGAGGCCTCCTGAGCTGACCACAACACGTGCACATGTGGGATTCTAGGGTGAACCTGCACTTTAGAAAGTCCCCTCCCCCACTCCACCCATCTGCTGTTACTACTAGGAAATCATCTCAATTCAGGCAATTGGGGTTCATGTTTTAAAAGCAAAGCTCTAATTACTCTAAAGGGAATAAATATTAAAGATTTTATTCACGAGTCTAATTTTATTATATGGCCTTAATCCATTAGACTTTTGCCAGTACTTTTTCTGTGTAAACACATTAAAGATACAACAATAGTAAAAACACCTTAATTCTGAGAGCAAAAGGGAACCACAGGTTCTGTAGTGACTATACTCAATGAAAATTGACCTGGGTACCTTTGAAGAAACTAAACTTCCTAATAGACAAAAGTTCTTATCCCATTATTTTTTTCTTGAGGAGGGATAAGACAGGAGGGGCATGGTTGCCAGGATTTATTTTAAGGCTCCTCTTGCAAAATGAATGTGTCAGCAGCCAGTTGTGCTCAGCAAAAGGGTGTGTTTAATAGACTCTTCAGGCAGACTGCCCACTGCCTGCCCAGCCCCTCCCTCCCTGCTGGGCTGGTCTGAGGTTTCATTCCACAAACAAGCAGCAGATGAAATACTTTACAGGAAACAGCACAGTTGATGTTGAAGACTAAGGAACCTACTCTTACTTTAAGAGTATTAGACCTTGGACTTCAGGCCCCATGCAATAAAGCAAGTTTTTTATACATTCCCCATTACCTTTTTCTTATATAAATTTAAATATTTTACAAAAAAAGTCTTTTTCCACCAAAGATATAAATTTGAGTGAAATATATATTCCCCTCCCGTGAACTTGTTTCTTCTAAAATATATATGCTATCTGATATCATGGGTAAATGTCTTTGACCACTGGACAACACTGAAGTTTCAACTGCCCTGTGGAGAAGGCACTTGTGTTTTGAGGTCTCCAGCAAGAATCTCAGTGAGTACTCAGAGTCTGTCCTCCAGAACCTGTGCTGGGCTTCCAAGTGCCCAGGCACAGGCAGCTGGGGAAACGGTAAGCTTGATTCTAAATTATGGACAAAATAAAAACAGCACAGACCAGTTCTGAGCTTAGAATCAAACTACAAACAAAATCCAGAGTGTTCATTCAAGAAGATTCAAACCTGTTTCATTCTCTTATAAATTAGAAAATACAAAGGTGGCTATTTTAATGACAAAGCTCAAACAGTACTGAAAGGGGGTCATGTCAATGGACCAAGTGTCAGTCCCTCTGGGTGGCCTGCAGCAGCACCCAGGCTGAAGGACGGCCTCCCTACTGCTGGGCCAGAAGTGCTGTCCTGTTGGCCTTCATCTTCTCCAGTCGTTTGGCCAGGTGGCTGTTGGTCATTTCCATCTCCTCGATCTTGTCCAGTGCTGTCCGTAACTGGAGACAAGAAGAGTTCAGTCACTTCTCATGTTCAGAAACAAAGCTCAGTGCTGCTTTATTTGAACTTTCTGGGAAATGGAAGGACTGCTAATTGCAATGTCCTTTACCAGGATCCTGCAGCCTGAATGCTTTCAAGGCAGCTCGAGGGTTAAACAGGATGCTGAGATGAATCACAGACAGGGTATATATAGAAGCTGGAGAACAGATCTGATATAAAAGCAAAAAGTAAAACTAATCTTTTTCTTATTAATTTGTCAAAACAGCAAAGTAAATGGCAGTCACTCTGCAGGTCAAAAACCAACACAGAATAACTCTACTTACTGAACCCAGGATTAAATTCCTATGCAGCAAATTGTTTATTTCCAAGGATTTTTTTTTTTTGAGGAATATATTCCAAAGAACATATTAAAACATACCTCTCGTTGTAACTTCCTTTTCTCTGCTTTCAGCTCATCTTCAACTTTCTCAGCATTCTCAGCAGCAGTTTTATATCTCAGCACCTGTCCCTCTAGCCGGTTAATCTGTAAATTTGAGAACACAGGGCTCTGGTTTGGAGCACTGAGCGCCACCAATTTTTTGTAGCCAAGATGGAAGTACAATGTCATGACAAATTCCAAGTAATCTAACACAGGCCTCCTCAGGGTGAGTCATAGGTCTTGCTATTTATGTATCAAGAACTGTCCCCAGGGAGGATTACAGCTGTAAAGTCAACAGAGGGCCAACTTCCCATGTTAAGTTTTATGATGACCAGAGTGTTTAAGTGCCAAAGTAACATCTCAGGAAGACACTAACCAAATGGGAAAGTTTTAGACTTTGAAACATATGGTAGTTGATTTTGTTACAAACTGTGATCTTGAATTCACTTTAATTATCTATAAAAGACAGAATTATAGTTATGATTTTCCACATTTTTATAGACAAGAGAAAGTGAACTGCTCTGCCAGGCATTCTTAGCTGGCTTTTCTCCTTTAATACAGACCTTTCAGAGTAACTTAACTGCCAAGACAGCGCAGAAAGGCCTGTATGTTCATGGACTTTGCTACCTATTTGGAATCAGCAGATGTTTTAAGGGACTTTAAAATAATTTGGTACCCTGGAGAAGAATTACTTACACTTTGCTCCAAGGTGGTTATATCCTGTTCTGCTTTTGAAAGCTTGAACTTATATTCACTAATTTGTCTATTGGCATCTCCTAGAATAGAAGAGAATAATGAATCACCTCTTAGAAGTAAAGATGACCCCTCCTGCAGCACAGGCAAGGGCTGTGCTATTCACACCAAACACACACATCACAGCCACAGCGTGACGGCAGCCGTGGGTCTGAGTATGTTTGCTCCAGCACGTGGGTTGCAACAGCATCATTTCAGTCAGGAGTCAGATCTTTTCATTCCATGATTTGTGGGACAGACTTTTGAGCAAGGAGCCCCGCCAACTGTACCTGTAGCCCTAGGCCCCAAGAAGTGATGTGCCCAGGACCGCAGCCTCTGGTTCCCTGGCCCCAGCCACCCCAAGGCTTCTCAGCTCTCAGGTCTCCTTCTGCTCACCCGTCCATTAAGTGCTTTTTGTCCCCCCACTTGATTCAAGTCTTAACCAACTTAAAAAGGTCACCATCAATTTTCACCTCCTTCAGGACTAATTAACTATTCCTTCCTCTTGCATTTTACTTGTACTCTTATTTTTCATAATCTTAATCTTATGCATGTAAGAAGTCTCCATCTTCACCTTCTTTCTTGAATCTATCTTGAAACTCCTGCTGTAACAAAACACTCTGCATATTGTAAATCCTTAATAATTGCAGAAATAAAATGTTTTTCAATGATATTTGTGATAATGTGTTACATGTAGAACTATAAATCATTAGATATGTATCTGACTTAAGAAGCAAAGTATTTAAAATGAGAAGTTTGGAAATGACAGGAGAAAAAAATTCCCCTACCAATCCAATTTAACACAGATCACCCTGAAATTATAGAAAGAATCATAAGGCATACAGGAGATGAATTTGATCTACCTAATTTAATAACTTTTCCAAATTTCTAAATAATTAAGGTTACATTCACCTATATCATCTTCAGTGCAAGAGGTTTTTTTTTTTACATGGAGAGTTTACTATCACCTTAAGTAATAGGATAATAAAACTGTCTCCTCAAAAGCCACCTGTGGTGGTAACAAAAACAAATACTATTCCAGGGTTGAAAACTTGAGTTTCAGAATCATGTATTAATTCTTATGCCCAGCAATTATCACAGCATGCTTCTTCCTTCTCACTCTCTAAACCACTCACTCCTTCCCATTTTCAAAAGTGTAAGTCCCTGATCGCAGCCATTTCAGCATGGTTTGAAATTCCACTTCAAAACACCATGCTTAGCAGCCATATCACAGGCCTGAGCCAAGAGTTACCACCAGAGTTCCTTTCCTGGCCTTGGGCAGGGAGCTGCCTGCTTTTGTCTTTACCAGCCAGGCCCTGTCTTCCCCAAGACTGGCTCAGTTTACCTTATTTTACAGTTCTGCCCTGAGAACATTTTCCTGCCTTCTACAGAACCAGCTCTGTAATACCTGCCTGCTCTAGAAGTATTAACACATAACGGCATGTCCATTTCCACTCAATATCAATCCTTTTGAATTTGCTGCTTTAGGCCAGTCTCTTTGAAATCTATCATTTGCCCTCTAAGACTTGCAGCCACTATGCTCACGGCCATAGCCTCCTGAGTAGTCAGCCTACTTCCTCATGCCCATCTTTATCTACCCTCTATGCCATTACAGTATTTCTAGAATAAAACATATAACAGAGTCACAAGGGTCTGACCTTACATCCAACAGAGAAAGTAATAATAACCTCAAAGGTTAGTATGAATAATATAAAGTTTTAACCTAAAAAGTCTTCTCTACTTAGCCTAGTTTAATATTTAGGTTAAAAAGTCACAGAATAACAATATTTTAAAATAAGTTATCAGAAAAGCCACTATTCAAATTGAAAAAGTTTCTCCTGTCCATGAATTCCTAACATCTATATACAAATGGCTGCTGAAATTTCTATACCTTGGGAAGTTTTCCTACCTGTGAATACAGTAGGTATTTTAAAATACTATGAAGTCAAAGTAGAAAGGGAGAGAAATTAGAATAATTTCATTTGAATAATTTAATTAGAATGACTGAATAGGCTTCCTTTGTGGCCTTATTTTAAATTCTATCTAATAAAGATCAGTTTGAATTAACAAGAACACTGAAAACCATGAACCCACTCAAATACTATATGATGAGTGAACTAGATGCCTGCAGTTAGCCATGATAAATTTCTAGAATGGAGCACATACAGGTGGAAACTGACTTGTCCCCTAGTACCTACTCTGCATTTCGATGAGCTGCAAATCTGAACCGTTCTGCAGCCCCGCCAGGTCGCCCACTGTGCCATCACTCCTGGAGCCCTTCTGCCGTTCTTCCTCTAACTGCAGCTTCAGCTTCCTGACCTGAAGTAGAAATAAAGGTTCATCAGCAAGACAGATTCTCTCAATGATGCTTAGCCCAACAATCAAACCATAGGATAGGGCTGATCTTCATCAGCCACAGACCAATAATTCAAAAATTACTTCCTTAAGAGGCCTTCCTGGTGCTGCAAGGGGTTAAGATGCAGCAGTGTGAAGCATTCTGCAGTCACTGCAACATGAGTTCCATCCCCAGCCAGGGAGCTGACCCACATGGCACAGCAGATCTCTCCTGCCTCGTCCCACTGCTCCCCTCAACAGTGTATTTCAGTCAGTCTACCTGTTTCCCACATTGTGTCTCTGGGGAATCCTCTCAACCTGCACCCCTGGCCTCCCTTTACCCCAGTTCTTGTATGCATGAATAAATAAATCTTTTTTAAAAAACTAGTTCCTTAAATGCTGGAGTGCAGCCGACAATGACTTCCTCATGGTAGGGCTGATGATGGTGATGACAACAATGAGTCCAGTCCTATGCAAGCACATCTGTCTCAAAGACTACTGTATGGCAAGATATCCTAACGTGAACCTTGTTCAGATGCCCTCAAATATCTTCATAACTGGTGTTAACTCTACACCAGGACATAAAAACTGCTAGAAAACCCCATTAATGTATGACTTGGCAGCTATGAGGAACAAAAGCAGTGAAGTGTAGGCAAGTCTAATATTTTGTTTTCAACTACAAAGTCAGACATGAAACTGCTGTAGACTATTTGGGTTAAAGAATTCAAACTAACTGAACTGTTAAGATGTATTTAACTAGAGACAGTTTTAAACAATAAATTTTTAGTTTATGTATTTGAAAAGATCCTTATAATTAGACCAAGTAAAATGTTAAGTATGATATATAAAATATCCAAAAATCTAAAAACAATGACTATTTTTGAGTGCTGCTATAGTAGACACTCTCCTGGATGCTGGACATAAGCTGTGAGCAAGGATCAAAAGGAGCAAACTCCAACACCAGGTGTCCCAATGCAAATATTTCTATCTTCTTTGTGTAAGTTTATAGGAAAGCCTATCATTTGGGTATGTTTTTGTTTAGAATTAAATTAAATATTCTTATTTAGAACCCATTCTGCATAAATAAGTGGAAATATATGAGTTTGGCAAGTTAATCTTTTTAATTTTCCCAAAATAAAGGATGCTCATAACATCTAATTCAGAATAGCTCCAAACTGAAAATAATCCAAATGTCCATTAATGGGAGACATAAAGAAACTATTGCCTCATCTGTGCAATGGGATAACTACTGAGCAAAAAGGAGGAAGATACTATTGAAACATACAACAACAAGGTTGATGTCAAAATAGGCAGCATGAAAGATGTCTAACAAAACAAGAATACAAACTGTAAAATACATAAAAGCCCTGAAGGTGCAAACTAGCCTACGGTGACAGAAAGCAGATCAGCAGTTGCCGGGAAAGAAGGATGTGCAGGAAGGAAAGCCCCATCTTGACTGTGGTTACAATTTAACAGGTATTGCTATGCATTACATTGTGTCCTCCTGAAAAATTTGTACATAGAAGTTCTAAACCCCATGTCTTAGAATATGACCTTCTTTGGATACAATCATTGCAGATGAGATGAGTTAAACTGAGATGAGGTCAGATAAACAATGGGCCCTTAATCTAATATGACTGATGCCCCTAAAAAAGGAATGCCAGATGAAGAGACAGACACATCCAGAGGTAAGGTGATGTGATCACACTGAGAAGCCAAGGAACAGCAATGATTGCCAGCACACCCCCAGAAGCTAGAAAAGAAGCATGGAAATACAGCAGCATAGATTTCCTTTCATAAGCCTCGGAAGAAACCAAGAGGGCTGACACTTTGATCTTGGACTTCTACCCTCCAGAACTGTAACACACTAAATTTCTGTTACTCAAAGTCATCTGGCCTGTGGTTCTTTGCTACAGCAGGCCTAGAAAACAAAAGCAGTTATATACATTTGTACACTTTTAAGAATATGTGGTTTTTTCTGTGCCTAATAAAGCTGGTGGGGGCTTAGGGATTAATATGCAAACTTTTTGAAATAAAATTAAAGGACTTTGGGTGGGGAGGACAAATGCTAGGTCCAACTGGAGACGGGTCCTAGAAAAGGAAACAAGGAGACCAAGTGAACACAGAAATATAGTGAACACTGAGGCCTCTAGTCCATCCTCAGTTACTAAAATGCAACAACTAGGCCTGTACCCTCAAGTAGAAGACTGGAGGATATCTCCCCTTAATAATCTCTAAATAGCCTAAAATAAAAGGAATAAGATCAAATACCACATTGAAGGTTCCCAATAAGACCTCCAGCCACATCAGTCTTTACAGAAACTTGGACAGCCTCTTCTGTATCCTCAGAACTGCGTTCGGAGTTTTCAGTATCTTACTGATACATTGAAGACCAGATAAATACACATAAAAGAACACCCAGGAGGAAACAAACTATGCAGACAGCAGAAAATAAACCAACAACCCTATTCAATATACTTCAAGTGCAAATATCTACATCTGAAGTGATCACAGGAAAAATAAGTAAGACAAAGTTAAGAAATTCTTTTAGAAAGCAGAATTAGGGTTCTCCCTGGTGGCACAATAGGTTAGGATGCAGCACTGCAAGCTGGCCACAGCCACTTCAGTGCCAGTTCAATTCCCTGCTCCAGCGGTGATCCACATGGGACAGACCTCTCCTGTCTTGCCCGCTGCTCCCCTGAGCAGTGTACTTTTGTCGATCTGCCTATTCTGCTCCCCACTCTGTCTTTGGTAAAGCTTCTCACAGCCCCTGTATCTCTGGCCTGTACCCCAGTTCCGTATGCATAAATAAAATAAATCTTCAAAAAAAAAAAAAAAAAAGCAGAATGAAGCGATGGAAAATAGGAGAGAAACAATAAATTACTCCACCAGAAATCAAAGAGTTGTGTTTCCCCAATGCTTGTCACTCTCATTATTAGAGATCCAGGATGTACCACTCATACCCAGTCTTCTTCACTTTACATCTACAATTCCAACATAACTCAGTTACAAGTATCTTCTCTCTAACTGCAATTCCTGATCTTTCCAGCTGATCTCTCTGGGAGTTATCAACACTGGTACCTTCTAATCCACTGTTTCTGTCTTCTATCACTGTGTCCTGAGAGTTTCTGGCTATCCTTTCAAATTTCCCTACCTCCATCTTTAATGTCTAGGTCTATCACTGCCACCATCCCTATGTAATATCTCACCTCCTCTGCCTATTATATTCACCAGGTAAGATCTAACTCTCACCTCACTTCCTGTCTGCGTGTATGCAGCTAAATGGCGGAAGGAACCACGTAACAAATGTATTCACACAAATGTTTAACAAATCCCATAATTCCCTGATTGCTTATATTTACTGTTAATTGTCTGGTCTACTTCACTACAATGAAGGTCTATTAAAGAATGAATTTTTTGTTTGTTATCTGTTCACTTAAGTATCCCAAGGGCCTAGAATAGTGCCTGCTATATAGTGTCACTCATTTTTTGGAACTCCTATTCAATATCTGAATGACTGAATAGACATTCCATAAAGAAGTAACAGAGCATATGAAAAGGGAGAAAAACAGGAACAAAATCATTCCAGAAATTTTTCCAGAAGTAAGGGATACAAATTCCTAGTATTCACAGGGGACTATACCATAAAAACTCCAAATCACAGCACAGAACACTAGAGAGCATGAGATTATGATACAAGCTTCCAGGCAGTGGAAGGAGAAAGAATCATAAACAACAGATCAGAAAATGTCTTTTGAAATTCTTAACATACAGAAGATTATTGGCCATACAGAAAGCCACATGACAAACAATTTACTTAATAAAAGAGAGAAAAGATGACAGAAAATGATCATAACCCAAAATTCTATACCCAGTCAAACTACTACTTCTTACTTCTACTAAGTAAGAAGGTAAAATGAAGAGCTTGCTAGGTTAAGAGAAATTTATAGCCTGTATGCCCTTCTTTGAAAGTTAACAAAATAAAAGATACTGAATAAAGAAGACAGACATATGACAGTGCAAAAAAGGAATTCAACCTAAATCACAGGCAGAGGAAACCCTAGATGACAATGAGGGGAGTCATGTTTTTGTATTAAGGAAACAAGCCATTAAGTCAGACTAGGGTGAGTCAGTTGCTCCAAGAGTCAACAACATGGAACTAAGAATGCATCTGAGAACACTAATATTACAGAGACTACAGCTAAATTAGTGATAAACACGCAGAAAGACAAGTAACCGAAAAGAAAAACCACAATATTAACTTCAGGGAAAATAAAAAGTTGTGAAGGAGATGAAAGGCAATCCTAGAGGATATATGACTCCACTGTGAGTGATGTTTACAGAGTCCTGGTGACATAAACAAATTGGATTTATGCTTTTCCTTTCCTTTTTCTGGGCATGGGAAGTGCATGTGTGTGTGATAGGGACAGAAGATAAAAGAGAGCTAAGTTCTTTTCTATAAAGGGATGTCAAAAAAGAATACCTAAAATAGAACACTCCATAAGCACATCATATAGAGAGATACACAAGCACAGACAAAAAAAATCAGCTAAAAGAACCAAACAGAAGTGGTCAGGAGTAATGTTAGAGAAGGCAGGGCAGGGAATTTCTGTCTGTCTTTATAGCAAGCTATGTAGTACTATTTGACTCCTTAAACTATATGTCCTGTCATTATTTAAAAGAAGAGGCAAATATGAATTGTCTTTTTGTACTTCCAATCTTAAGCACTGGTGTTCGAAGTAAACATTTCTTTTAGTGTACATTTTAATTTGCCAATATATATATTTTTTAAAGATTTATTTATTTGTGCATACAGAACTGGAGTACAGGCCAGAGACTCAGGGGTGGCGAAAGACTTCACCAGACACAAAGTGGGGAGCAGAACAGGCAGATCAACGAAGTACACTGCTGAGGGGAGCAGCGGGTGGGTCAGGAGAGTTCTGCCACACCATGTGGTCACCTCCGGGGCAGGCAGGAATCGAACTCAATCGGAAGTGGTTTCAGCTTCTTAGAGCAGGGCTTTAACCCGCTGCGCCACCAGGGAGGGCCTAATTTGCCAATATTTTACAGTGATTTAGTCAGTTACAATTACCTTCCAATGAGAAGAAAGCCTTTACCTGTGATAGCAGCTCTTCCTTTTCTCCAGCAAGTTTTCGTAGCCTCACATCTAAAACAAAAGAACAAAGATGCAAACTAAATCTGTAATGATGTGGAATATAAACAATTAAAAATAATTCTTCAAATTCATAAATAGCAAACGTTATCAGATAAACAATTTATAGCTCCAAATATCAAAATAAATGAAGGCTTTAGTGGTGTTAAGGAAAAGTACTGAATTATTCGATGCCTATTTCCACATAACTGATACTTATCAGCCATTAAATGTAGTGTTTGCTCCCTAGAGCAGTGATTTTCCACTTCAAGACAAACTGAAGTACAAAGATAATTTCCTTGTTTCAAAATTTACAGGCTTTCAACAGTAGAGACAACTCAAAGACCAAGAGTGTTCTCCCAAATAAGAAATATGAAATATAGGAGAGGAGACGGGTTAAGAGTGGTGCTGGGAGGAGAAACTGGAGCAAAGAAAATGGAGGAACACGTGTTGTAAGAAGCAAAGATGCAAAAGAGCCAGAGGGGAGGAAGAGAGCACTCAAAGGCTAATCTTGCTGGCGAGTACCATTAATGCTCATGCCTGGCCTGTGTTAAGGACTGATGCATCCCTAGCACCTAATAGACCCCTAAACTGAGAAGATGCCCTGAGACACCTAAAAGCAGCAGCTGACACCTCCCCACCATCAACGGGCCAAATGTGAAGTTCGGGCTTCTTCAGCACCTTCCACACAGGCAGAGGAAAGCAAGCCAGCCCCAGCGGCACACTCAAGCCATTCTCCCTCCACAGCCAGCCCCACCACTCTGCCCTTGTGCTTGGCTGCGACAGTAGTGAACACGCTTACTATCTTTTAAAAAGTTTTTCAGCTTCCCCCATTCTCACAGTATATACCCACTCTTCTAGGAAACCCAGTCATAGATGAAAAAGAAAAAAGTCATTTTTAATAAGTAAAAATGAACTGATACTACAGTATTTATCTGTGCCTGCTTTTATTACTCTGGAGCAGGATTCTTAGTGGGGACAATGGATGGGAGATTAGTGGGGACAATTTCTGAGAGAAATGTCATTAGATTCCCCAAAGGCTTAGACTTTAAGAAGCTCAGAAGCCCTACTGCAGAAATAACATTACTTTTATATCTCTGTTCTTGGTCATTTGTTTTTCTACCTTAACAAATATGGCAGGAAAGAGCTACAGAGCTCTGAGATAAGTAGCAGAGCACAAAAGCAGATGCTCCAGAAAGAAAAACTTAAAGCATACTAGGGAAGTCTACTACCAAGGCCACCGGTTCCTGGGGACAGGTGCTACGTGATCCCTTTGCAGGAAGTTTATGCTAAGTGAAAACGTGATGTGTGTCACCCAGAATGCTTCCATCCAAGGGCCTTATAGTTTCAGTAGTTTCTGCCTTACAATGATGCTGGTTTCCCAGGTCAAGGATGTCTAAATACAATGTGCCCAGATTTCTTCTTGTTACGGACCTAGATAAAGCTCAGACAGCCCTCCTGTTTTTGTTTTTCAAGATGCCATATGAAGCTGGAAGTGCATTAAGAGTACGTTAAATCAGCGTCTTACCGAGCGGTCCTTCTCCTGCTGATTCCAAGACCTGAGCGGCTTCCTGGGACACGACAGTGATGGCTCCGACCACAGGCTCATGACTGACGTCACCATTGGGCGTGCCATCAGGGATTATAACTAAGCCATGCTTCTGTGAGGAAGAAAAATACCCATCACGAAAGACAACCCACACAGAAGCAGTGTGTACTGTGAAGTGACTCAACAACATGTTTACCACAGGTAAAACTGGCTAAAACCAGCTACATGGACGACAGCCCTGCAGAAGAAATGACAAACCTACCAAATCTGGACTGAAGAATGAACACTGTGATCTGCACTCAGACTGCAAGGATGGCAGGATGAAAGGAAAGAAGCACAAAGCAGTGAGAGTTGTGAGCTCCAGGCTACTGCTGACATACCTCTCCTGTCTTCACTGTGTCCTTCAGGTCAGCCAGCTCCTCTCTGAGCGAGTCTCGCTCATTCCTAAGGCAGGCGATGTATTCTTTCTGTTTCTCTAGGGCCTGGTTTTAGACAAGGTAGCAAGGAAAAGAGTGGCACAGAAAAAAAGAGCAAGTAAAAGGCATCAGAGAAGAACCTAATTTAAATAAACAAAGACAAAGGCATAAAGGCAAGGAAGCATTAAAAGCTTGGGAGCAAGCAGTCAGATATGGGAAGAAATACAAAGTTATTTGGCTATGTATCTCTAAATAGTTAACTGTGCATAAATTTGGCAAATCATGCTTAACACACCAGGCAGGAAAACAAATGTCTCTTTTCCAGTCAATGAAAGCAACAGGAAGAAGGAAGACGAAGACAATTGTAACATCTAAGTTTTTCTTACTGACCTATAAATACACTTCATATTTAGTTAAAGGTTTGTTCAAGAATATGCTTGAGGTTTTTAATAAAAAGGAATGGCTCTGGAAGAAAAACAACCAATTTACATAAGGTATTTATTTGAATTAAATATTGGCTAGCAAGTAGTATGTCTCCAAGTAGTATGGCAAACCATCCCTCAAATATTACTACCTTAAAAATAGCGTTACCTCCAAAAGGATCTTCAGTACCCTTTGTTCATTTAATGAAATGCAATTAAGAGTGGTTTGTTTTTTTGATATTCTTCTAAAATATGAAAGATAAAACTAAAACACTGACAGACTAAATAGCATGGAGGTAGCCAAATGTGGTTTTGAAATCAGGTTTTTGAGACCTGGCACATGCTGAACTTTATGTCTCAGTTTCCTCATCTGAAAGCTTACGGGATCAGAGCAGCATCTGATGGGCATTCAGGTTTGAAACGTAAAACACCGCAGTGCTTAAGATGCCAGGGAAGGCGCAGGAAAAGCGAACTACTGTTCCCATTAGTATTCTCCCTATCATTGCCTGAACCTCACAAGTGTCAGCACTGAGAAGGATGGCGCAGAAACAGGGACACTCTTGGGTCATCAGTATGTAATTATTCTGTAATAAAATAACCTAGACTTCAAAACACATCCAAATTTAGCAGTCTCTTCAGGAACCTAACAGCTGGGCTGCTGAAAGAAGTCTTTCACTACACTTAAGTTCATAAACAATATTTTCTGCCAGCCTTCCCACTAATCCAAGAAGTTTAATTAAAACAGGTAACTTTCCTCTCAGTTTATTAAGTTTAGAAGTGGGGAACTGCTTAGTTATTGATTGCTGAATAGTTGGACCACGTTTTAAATGATTACAGTTTTATTCTGCAACCAAACTGGAAATGAGTAAATATCGGGTGATGCGACTACCACCCATTTGTAGCACAGCTACACTGTTTGTAGGCACTGCTATAGATACACTAATTTCTCCCTTAGAGATTGTTACATGTTTACATAAAATGTCTCCCTTAAATGCCCTATAATAGCTTACCATAATCTTTTTCACAGAGCAGAAAATGAAGTCATAAAGAAATCATGCATACATATACACACACACATACACACACACACATACATACATACATACAGTCCAAAGTTATGGTAAGTGACAAAGACAGCAAATGAATCCAGTCTTTTTTTTTTTTCCCAAAAGATACTTACATACTCTTCCTATGTCATAACCCCATCAAAGCCACAATTAAATTCCCTTATTGTCATCCTACAGACTGCTAGAAAAGCAGTCCTTAGGGCAAGTTCTGAACTGCAACATCAACATCAATTTTCTTTCAACAGTTTACATTCACACTATGCTATGTGTCTCGAGTCTGCCTGTACATTAGTAATTTGAGTTTTCAGTTTCATACACATTTACTCTAACACTCTGGCCTGACAGTGACGCTTAATTACACCAGTGATAATGTAACATTAGGACATGAAAGCACAAGCAACACTTTTCCATCTGTTGACAGTCACTTTAATCTCTGCTGGGTCAGATATTTTGGTTACTGATATCTGCACGCACAGTCATGCCATGCATGGACACACAAACTGTATCAGTGATCACCTTCACAACATGCTCTCTGTAAACACCACCACTCAATATTAAATACTTAGGAAGAGACCAATTTCAAAGTCGGAATTCTAGCAAATGGAAAGACAAGCCATTTGCTCCTTTTCCACATCTTATAATAATGGATTTTATTTTTACATTTGGACCTTTTAATTTCATCTTCCCATAATTATGATGGGAAATAAAGTATATGCTGTAAGTTCTTTCAATTCACCACAAACTTTAAAGAATACTGAAATACCTTCTAATTGAACAAAATGAATTCATACTGGAGGTACAATTCTCGGTGTTACCCAACTATCCAACCACTACCCTTATGTTTACATTCAATAATAGCTCCACACTTTTTTTTTTGGTAAGGATAACAAGTACATGCTTAGAGAGATATAAATAATTCTCAAATTATAATGCTAAGACCTAAACAATAGTATGTGTAACAGGCTGAACTTTGAGGCAACAGGTTAATTCTCTGTATAACTGCACAGGGGCATAAATATTTTGAGTAAGAATGGAAGTAAGTCTGAAGCTATGTCACACAGATGTGCAAGTCCTTCATATACCTATTCTGTACCTGATTCCTTGGTGCTCAAAATTGCTCTGCGGCTAGAAGCATGGCCACTAGGCTCAAGAAGGAAAGGCTAAAAATGTTAAATTTTAACATGAAAATAACCATTTTTCTTCAAGAAGTTATCAAATCAGTTTTTGAAAAGAAAGCTAGGGAACAGTGATGCATTAGGTAGTCACTGATCATGATGAAATTTTTTTTTTTAAATCAAGGGAGGACCACTTTGCACACTGAAAGGTGGCAGCTTCCCTTTAGGGGTGGGGGGCACTTCCCTCTCCCCCCCCCCAAAAAAAACAAAACAGAAGTGTTGGTAAAGACATGGAGAAATCAGAACCTATCTGTGGTGCTGGTGGAACTGAAAAATGGTACACTGCTATTGAAAACAGTGTGGCTATTCCTCAAAAACTTAAAAGCAGAATTACCATATAATCATCAATTCTACTCTCTGGTATAGACCCAAAAGAAATACAAGCAGGGTCTCACAGAGATTTATTTATTTGCATACTCATGTTCACAGCAGCATTAGTCAGAATAGCCAAAGGTAGAAGGAATGCAAATGGCCACCAATAGATGAATAGAAAGACAAAATGTAATCCATTCATATAAGAAATATCATTCAGTATTTAAATGAAAGGTCATTCTGGTACATGTTAAGTGCATGAACCTTGAGACTATGGATTAAGTGAAATATGTCAGTCAAAAAAGATAATGATTCCACTTATATGAAGTAACTAGAATAGAGGCATAAAAGCAGAATGATGTTTGCTGGGGTGGGGGAGGAAGAACTGGGAAATTGTTGGCACAGAGTTTTGGGTATGCCAGATAAAGAGCTCTGTGCATGGGTGATGCTGTCACTAGCATAAAATGTGAATATATTTAATGCCACCACATTTTACACTTACAACTGCTAGAATGGTAAACTGCTGAGTCAGAAAATATAATTTGAAAGGGTCATACACTGTGTGATTCCATTTATATAACCTATAGCAGCAAAATTAGGAAATGAAAACAGATTAGTGGTTGCCAGAGCTTGGCTCAGAGAAGAGGAGCCGGTAGACGGAGCTTCCACAAGGACAACAGGAGAGATCACTTATGATGGTGAAAATGTCCTGGTGTCTTGATTATATCAAAGTCAATATTCTGGTAGTGATACTGTACTGTACTTTGTAAGATGTTATATTTGGGGAAAACTGGATAAAGGGCACAGAGTATATTTTTAATTGCATATGATTTTACAGTTGCCTCAAAAATATTTAAATTTGATTATTTATAAAGTGTTCCTTTAAGCATATAATTATATACCACATAGAAAGATGATGTCCATTTATTCAAGAATACCAAGAGTGTTAAAAGTTCAAATAATTTATACCTTAACCACCAAAATCTATTTCTAGTAGAAAATAATTTTTTTTTTATTCTGGATACCAATTTTATTAAACTGAGAGGTATGGATTTTCCTTAGCGGGTCCAAAATAATCAGTTTAAAATGCTAACATATTATACAAATTGAAGTCTTGGACCTGCACATCTAAGCTAAAGAAAAGTATATAATCTAAGGTCTCAAAAGAGACCTTAGATTCTAGGTAACCAGTTTTCACTACACTCAACAAGTTAATCTACTTTGTATGATATATTTTTTCACATCTCATATCACACAAATAAAACTTTAAATAAAATCATAAATTTACAATCACAATTTCAAAACTTCTAATAAAGTTGTTCATTCTGATCCCAGTAGTTTCTTCTAGCTTTGACTGGAATTTTAGAAACAATATTTAAGTACAAGAAACTGTAAAAGGCAGCTTTATTTCTTTCAATCTTTGGTCTACCAAACTCTGAAGAAGTACTTTTCTTTTCCATGTGTTTGCTAATGAGAACACAGGGTCCTTGGAAGTGTGAGAAAAACTGGATAGTGAAAGGAGAGATGATTCAGAGGGCTCCATATCCAGGTATATCAATCACAGGTATTCTCAGGAATTTTTGCCAACTTTTCCCTACCCCATCGAACCTTATGCAGAAAAAGATTTTCTATGTCGTTAGGCCAAGAACTTCTATCTCACTGTTCCTCCAGCACAGCCCTTCTCTGAACAGTGATGTGTGGCTGTGCGGTCCCCTTACAGCCAAAGGGCTCATGCTGTGAGCTGGGGCTGCTAGTCAAGGGCTACACAGGATTTTTTTAGCCTCCAGCATACCTGGAACCTACCTAATGGGCTTAGCAAAAAAGCAATGAAGACATTTTCTTTATCATGGCCCCTGCTTAAGGGAGTTATAGGGTTACAATTAGAGATGATGTAAGAGTTTGGCAGCTATGTAAATCTTGCATTCCTATCCACTTCTGTAATTAAACTGATTTTAATCTCTTCCTATTTTATTCACCAAGGATTTATGGGATGTTAATAACTTTTCTCTCCACCCCCTACTCCTAAATCTCTTGTTTTTTATCCAAATTCTGGCAATGTAAGGATATCAAATGACTCACAGAGTTTAATTTAAATGTCTACAGCTACTTCTGGATAAGAACCCTAGAGGAATAAAGAACAATTTCCTTGCAAAGTTACTACTTGTAAGTTTCACAAGCTCAGAGTGAACTGGAAAGAAGGGTTCTTTCCAGCTTAAGATCAGGTTTTCCCATAGAAGTTTTGTTCTGTCTTCTGCTTATTTGTACTACACACTGCACAGATGCTCAAAAAGAATCAAAAGAACAGATTCCTAGGAATCTCTAAGTTAAATTCTATTGGTCTATTCCTCATCAATGAGCTTTGTACCAACACCCAACTTTATCTCATACCCTAATGTTTTTATCTTTCCAAAGAATTGTCTCCTGGAGGTCAAACACCTCTTTTGTCATGGTGTCTATGTTCTGTTGCATGCGCTGGTTCTCCTGCAGAGAAGAGGGGGAAGACAAGTAACAAAGGAGCAAAAAAGAAAAGGGAGAAAAATGGAATGAAAATAAAATGGATAAAGCAACTTAACAAATGGGGAAAGTTTGTGCTGAACAGGAAAAGCAAGAGTTGTTTGCTAAAAGGAAAAAATGATGTCCAGAGCCTTGGCGCCGGGCCTCTCACTGGCTGGCTGCTACAACAGTGAGCCAGGGACTGGGAACAACTGTTCTAGCCACAGCTACGTGACAGCAAGCCAGCGGGGGTTTCTGGGTGCATACTATACTGCTCCATATGCGTGTTCTTCCTCTGAGAACTTTGTTCCAAACATGGAACAACTAACATTTCTAGAGAGGAAATTCAGATTTGCTATGAATAAGTGATCCATATTATAGAACAAGTAGTAGTTTGAACATTATTTTTATACTTTTAAACTGAACTGAAAAAATACTAGCAGGCTATATCTCCAATTTCTGTTATCTAAATGTATAATAGCAAGAATATAAAAAATTTAAAAGTCACATCATTTTCTAGAGAATTTAGGATTTAGTAATTCTTAAGCAACTGTTCTGGTTAGGCAATGATGCTCAGTTTATACCCTTTCATAATCAGCAAGATAACTTATACATTATTGACAGATTATCACCTATTTCCCAACTCATATAATACTAATTTATTCTACCATGTGAATGTCAATTCTAAAGATCAGAAAGCATTATTTTGTCATATTCACTTTTTATTCAATTATACATAAGTTTGGGTATTAACATCTAAAAGACAGTAATGCTAAATATAAAAATGGTCCCCAAAACTAAGTTTTTAAAGTTTTATACACCTGGGCTTTTAAAGAAACTAAAGTGACAAAGCATACAAATCAAGCATTATAATTCCTCTTAAATACAACCATCTAGTTAAAAACTAGGATATTTAAAACAATTCTAACTTAAGCTACTTAAAAATAGCCTTACTATTCTTTTGAAATCATGAGAAGGAAAAAATATATATTGATGAGAAAAAGAAAGTAAAAGACAGAGCTGACTAACTGATACACAAAAAGGCAGAGGAATCCACACATGCTAAAATACCAGCAGGGTACAAAATTTTGACTATGTGCTTCTTGCCATATGGAAATGAATATTTTTGGAAAAGCTAAAAGAACCATGTAATCTCAAATATGCAGTTATCTGTAGCTGCATTTAGAATTCACAAGTTCTTCCTACTTTCAACAGGCTGTGTTCAATTCAATCATTCTTAATAGTGATAAGTAACATAAATCCATAACTAAAAATTAATACTTTTCCTCTACTGAATGATTTTTAAGTAAATTTAAAGAAGAAAAACTAAGGGAACTAAAGGGAAAAAGAGGAAGGGTAAAAGAGAGGTGGGATCTGAGCATCCAGGGATTTGGATGAGTCAGGTATGGCCATGACCAGACTCTGGAACCTCAGCATTGGCCAACCTTTGTTTATTGTATATAAAATGTTTGGGCAATTTCTTCCTCTCATTTAGACACCTCAGGAATGTATCTACTGGAGTGAAGATCAAACTTCTGATTTCTAAAAGATAGCATTCACTATCACCAAAAGAATAAGGTTACTCTCTAATTTTTCCTTTTGCCCATTTCCTAAGATATTTTTAGGAATAAATGTATTTTGGAATAAAAGACATTTATAAAAACTTGTGCTGCAAAAAGGGAGGGTGTTTATAGGGTTCAAAGTGTTAATTTTTTAATCCTTCCTTTATGTTTCCTTTTTTGTAAAATTTTAGGGATAGACAAATACGAAGAGACAATCTGTGGCATTTTAACTCGTTTCCCTTCTCAACATACACCCCTTTTATCCCACCCAATGCATTTCTTTTCCCAAATAAGGCATTTCCATAGTTCATATACATACCTCAATAAGCTCATCTCTTTGTCGAAGGCCTTCTTTAAGTTCATCCATCTTATGCTGCAGCACACTGCACATATGTTTCTGCCTTTCTAACTCCTATTATTAAACAAATGATTAAAATTAGTTAACACATATTATAGTACACAACAAAGTTGAATGCATGTAACCCAAAAATACAGAGGCTAAAAAAGTACGACCCTCTCCAGAAAATAACTGAACTGTCAATGCACAGTAACTTAGGAAAATTCTGTGTCCTATGGAAAATTCAGATAATTTTAAATTTTCATCACATAGGATTAGAAAACACAAACTCAGCAATGGCAAAACTTCTGTGAACATTGACATAACTTAGTAAAGAGGTAGAAAAAACTAACATAATGAGCTAACATTTTGAATGTTCAGAAATGCAAAGTATGAAGAGACTATAATAAACCTAATATTTATAGTACATAATATCAACAGGCAAAATAAAAATATACACACATAAAAACTTAAGATATATCCAAAATCTGAGGAAAATTATATAAACTACACCAGGAAGACAGAAAACTGTGACTGAAGAAACAAAGAATACACCTTCTTTGCTAAAAAGACTTAATAGCAAACAACTGCCAATTTGCCCTTAAATTAATCTACATAATCAACACAATCTAAATAAATATACCATCAAAGTATTTATCTCATTAGAAAAAGACCCAGTTGATTATAAAATTTATGTGAAAAAAAATAAGAAAAAATAAAAAACACCGAAAAAGAAGAAAATTAGTCTTAGTAGTTATTAAAACGTGTAATAAGGCCTCTCTATATAATGGCACAAACCAATGGAACAGAACAGAAAATCCAGAAATGTACCTACAATTATATAATGAAATAAGGAAAAAGAATATCTCAAATCAGCAAGAAAGAACAACTTATCATCAGAGACGCTGAGATAACTGAATATTCATATGGAAAAAAAAATTAGAACCATATCTCACATCACAAATCTCATATTATTCACCAGGACAAAGTTCAACTGGTCAAAGGTATATGAAGAAATAAGGAGAAAAGGAGAGAGAGAGGGAGTATGGAGATTAAGGAAGAGGACAGGGACAACAAGAGGGGATAAAAGGAAGGATGGAGGAAGGGAAGGAGGCAAAGGAATAAAAGAAACAGATTAACTTCTTTGAATACATTGTTGAACTGACTTCCCATCCATGTGAACATTTTATGTAATTGTAAAACAAAACTAAATTTAAAAAGCAATTCCTGATGGAAGTAACCAAGTATCCACCAACATATATATATATAAACAATATAATGAAATGCATATGTGATAGATACATACAGTAAATGCTATTCAGGGAGGAAATCCTGCCATATGTTACAACACAGATGAAACTTTGTTACATTATACTAAGTGAAATAAGACAGTCATAGGAAAATAAATACCATGTATATGAGTCCACCTAGTCAAATTCATAGGGACAGAAAGTAAAGGAAGAATTGCTAGGAGCTGAAAAGAAGATGAAAGGAGATTGCTTTAATGGGGCACAGTGTTTCAATTTTCCAATATGTAAAGTTCTGGAAATCTGTTGTACAACAATGTGAATATATTTGACATTACTGAACCTGCACCATTTGAAATGGCTAAGGTGAAAAGTTTTATGATTTTTTAAACCATCATTCAGGTAAAAATTTTAATATAAAGTTTGTAAAGTACTTCCTAAGTATTTAAATAAAATGTAGTGAATCTAACTATCCATTTAGTAGTAGAGGCATGAGAGAGAAACTATTTTCAGTAACTTATAAAAACAAAAGTTGGACTATACATAACTTGATGGCAAAATAACCACCAAACAAAACAAAACAAAAAGCTTTGACCTATTTCAGTAGTTATACATTATGTGGTAACACTGGTATTGCTATTCTGGGTCATGTGGGATAAAGCAATGAGAACAGAATATAACATAATTACTATCATCCCCAGTGACTTTGAGAACTGGGTGTAGTAGTGAAGGGAAAAGTAGATATACATATATAAAACAGAAGAGGGTAATTAAGAACTCTAGAGTCCTGGATTTGAACTGGAACCATAAACATAAACTCACTGCATACTTTCTTTAAAAAAGAAACAGAGATACCCACATACACACATCCTAGCTAATTCACTAACAAAGTCTATTGTCAGTGACCAACCTGGTTGCAGGAGCACCCTGGGCACCCACACGTCCCCACTGAAAAAGCCAGGGCTGATTTCAGTTGGGGAGCAAGAAATGAAGAGGAGAGCCTGGAGCACCTTGTGCTGAAGAACAGAGAAGTCGCCCAAAACAATCAGGGTCCAGTAAAATTTACTTCAGAATGAACCTGAGAGTGTCACATCTTATTCAGTAAGAACAGAAGTAATAATCAGAAAAACTAGAATTCCAGACTTCATCATGACATTTTGTTTTGTTTTGGGGAATTTTTAAAATTTAACTTTTTA